AACACTTTGCATTTCTTTAAATAACTCTTTATCTTGTTTATGTCTACCTGATGTATCAACAAGAATTATATCATTTTTTTCCTTTCTAAAGGTACGAACTCCTTCACTAGCAACTTTTACTGGATCACTTTCTTCTTTTATTCCAAAAAATGGTACTCCTGCTCGTTTAGCATTCATTTGTAATTGTTCATATGCTCCTGCTCTAAATGTATCTGCTCCAACAACAGCTGGTTTATATCCTCGATTTTTATAATACAACGCAAGTTTTGTAATAGTAGTAGTTTTACCTGCTCCTTGTAAACCAACCATCATTAATACACATGTTTTTCCTTTCTTGGGTTTAAATGCTTCAGTTTTTGGATCAACTAAATTGATAAGTTCTTCAAAAACAGAATCTTTTATTAACTTTCTTTTGTCAATTCCATCAGGAATATCTTCTGAATTAATTTTCTTTTTTATGTTATTTACCATTTGTCTAATAAAGATTGGATTGACATCTTCCCCTAATAATGACGTTTCAATCTCTTTTAATAACGTATTAATAACTTCTTCATCTACAACAGTAGATGAAGTCATTTTACGTAATGCTGTCACAAGACTTGACCCAAGTTGTGAAAGTACCATTTCGTTGTACCAATACTAATTTTCAGTTATTTATTTTTTTATTATTTTTTTCTAGTAGTTTTATTATTAATATTTTTCTTTTATAAAATTTATCACCATTCGCTATTTATAATTAAAATAAAAAACAAAATGTTTTATTATGAAAAAACAAAAAAAAGATTAATAAAATCAAGAAAAATAAAAACTTCAAGTAAAAAAAAAAGAAAGAAAACTTGAAAAGAAAACAGACTATTCAATACTAACAATGTTTATGACTAAAAATGAAAACGATCATGGTGTTAATACCTTTTCATCTGAAGGAAGATTGTTCCAAGTTGAGTATGCTACAGAAGCAATGAAATTAGGATCAACCGTTATTGGTATTCAAACAAAAGAAGGTGTTGTCCTTGCTGTAGAAAAACGAATTTCATCACCATTAATGCTTGGAAGTAGTATTGAAAAAATTATTGAAATTGATGATCATATTGGAGCAGCTGTTAGTGGACTAACTGCTGATGCACGTACATTAATTGACAATGCTAGACTTGAAGCACAAAATCATAGATTTATGTATGATGAACCAATAAATGTAGAAGTTGTTGCTCAAGCCATTTCAGATCTTTCTTTAAGATTTGGAGAAGGATCAAGAAAGAAAAAAGTCATGAGTAGACCATTTGGTGTTGCATTATTAATTGCAGGTGTTGATGAAACTGGTCCAAGACTTTTCCAAACTGATCCAAGTGGAATGTTTATTGAATTTTATGCCAAAGCCACAGGAGCAGGAACAGAAGCTGCACAATCAATTTTACATGAAAAATATAATAAATCGATGACATTAAGAGAAGCAGAAATACTTGCATTATCAACATTAAAACAAGTAATGGAAGAAAAATTAAATTCTAAGAATGTAGAAGTAGCGTTAGTTACAGTAGAAAAGAAGAAATTTGAAATTATGGATACTGCATTTATTGAAAATTTAATTGGAGAAATCAAAGAAGAATTAATTTAATAAATTAACAAAAGCAATTAGTGTTATTAATATTTAATAAATTAAAATTAATAAATTTATCTATTAAAAAAGAATAAAAAACCATAATTTATTTTTTAACAAAAGAAATAAATATTAAAGAAAAAAAAAAATATAAGAAGAAGAGGACATTGTTAAATAAAAATATTTTAAATATATTAAAATTAATAAAAACAATGTCAAGAGAAAATTATGTTTATCTTCTGTCTAGGTATAGAGCCTTTATCAGTCATCACAGCATAGATATTTTTTATATTTATTTTCTATTCAACTTTAACAAAAATATAATTTAAAATATTTAATTTAATACTGGTTTCCAGCTTTCCCAAACTAATTTGATTGTTCCAGGAACATTCTTTTCAACTACACCAAGACATTGAACAATACAACTTTCTACTATTACATCATTTAATACATTTGGAGTTCGTACCCATACCATTCCATTTATTCCAACTGCAATTTCAAATGGTGTATATTCTCCAATACATGTTAAAACACAACATCCATCACCCATTATTCTACGACACATTGATTGAGGTACGGAGAATGCCCATCCTCCTTGTAATTCACCAAAACCATCTTCCATTTTTCTTTGTGAAACACAAACAACTTGAGGAACATTTTCTTTAGAAACAACACGACAATAAACATAATCACCATCTAATAAATTTGGTTTACTCTTTTTTGTAGCATTTTCAAAGGCAAGAAAATCAAGTTCAGCATAACAATAAGAACCAATATCAACAAGATATTTATCTTTAACTCGTTTAACTATTTTACCAACACAAACATCTTCAACTGATGGATGATACTAATTTATTAATTTATTTTTATTATATCAAAATTATTGAATTTTTAAAGGGTTTTTTCCCTTTTAAATAAAATTTGATTTTCAAACTTTTTTTAAATCACTAAATACATGATAATACTTCGTTTGTTGTTGGTACTTTAATATTCCTGCTCTGGAAACTGTAGGAACACCATTCCGTTTTATTATTCCATCACCAAATCTTGCTCCTTGAACATACTCAAATGTGTCTCCAGGAAAAACAGTCTTAATTGATGTAAAAGCTACTTTTGTTGCCATGATAAGTTTTATAGTTCTTCTTTATCTTTTTTAAAAAAATCAAAGAAAAACAAAACTGAAATTTTATTAGATCTATTAATTATTTATTGGATGAGTCATAGAAGAAAGAACTTCATTATTTTCAAACAAACTTCTCCATTCACTTTTGTTAATTTTACTCAATATTATACATCTGATCAAATGTCAATTGAAGATGAAGAATCAAATGATGAAAGATTTGTATTACAATCAACTGTAAATATGATTGACGTATTAAGAAAATGTAATGATAAATTGGATTTTACTTCATTTTTCAGTAGACCAATTACTTCTCCTTCAACACCAACAGGAAATATGAACAGAGATAATGAAAATAATGATTTAATTCTTTCTACAGAACAATTATTAGGAACTGGTGTTGATCCAACGTTTGCTATCTTTATTTTTATATAAAAATAATTAAAAAAGAAGTTTATTATTATAGACAAACTACCGGAAAATTAATTAATTCAAGATATCGTATTATTTCATTATTGGGTAATGGAGCATTTGGACAAGTTGTAAAAGCTCATGATGAACAAAATAATAAAGAAGTTGCTATAAAAGTATTAAAAAATAAAGCATCATATATGAGACAGGCTATGTTAGAAATTGCTGTATTACATTTATTAAATAAACATTTTGATCCAGATTGTAAATATCATACACTTCGAATGTATGACCATTTTGTTTTTTATAATCATGTTTGTATTGTTACTGAATTACTTGGAATGAATTTATATGAATTAATTAAACAAAAACAATATAATGGATTAAATCTTCGATTAACTGTTAATATATTAAAACAGTTAGTTGAGAGTTTAGATATATTATATAAAAATAATATTGCTCATTGTGACTTAAAACCAGAAAATATTTTACTTGTAGATAATACTAGTAATATTAGATTAATTGATTTTGGTTCCTCATGTTTTGAGAATAGCACATTATATACTTATATTCAGTCAAGACATTATCGATCACCTGAAGTTCTTTTAGGTATTAAATATACAACGGCAATAGATATGTGGTCATTTGGGTGTATTGCAGCTGAATTAATTCTTGGGATTCCAATTTTTCCTGGAAGTTCTGAATATAATCAACTAGAGAGAATTATCAAGATGATAGGTATGCCACCAAAAAAAGTCTTAGACCAAGGGACAAAAACAAGAAAATTTTTTAAATTAGAAATGAATGGTTGGGTTTTTAAATCACGTGATGAATATGAAATGGAAAATAATGTTCGTCTTGAACCAAATAGACAGTATCATCACTATACAGACTTAGAAAATTTCACTGAACGATTAAGTAAAGTAATAAAAAATCCACAAACACTAAAATTAGCTAGAAAAACTTATCTTGATTTCTTACAAAGAACTTTATGTTGGGATCCTGATCTTCGACTAACTCCTACACAAGCTATGCAACACCCTTTCTTATTGAATAAACCACTTCACCCAAATTATCAACCTCCTCATCTTCCTGAACCTTGTAGAAATTATCCAGGAGATAGTGCTTTGTCTGCAGATGATGCTTTAAAAATCGTTTGCCCACCATCAATTATGCCATCTAAATTCAAATATCAAACATACACTACACAAGTTTATTATCAAGTGTTTATTGCTGCTCTAGAAAAAGGTATTGTTTTAAATATCTTAAATGCAAACCCATTTGCCTTACAACCAATGACCCCTCCAGTTCTTTTATGGGAGGAAGTTGAAAATAGGAAAAAACGTAATGAAAAACAACGTGAACGGTCTAAGAAAAGAAGACCTGAACATCAAACTGAAACATATAATGGAAGACAAATAGTTCAACAAGCACAAAGCATGAATGGATCAAGTTGGAAAGGGAGTGATGGATCATATTCTTCACCATTTGGAAAAGATATGCATAAGAGTTTTGGGCAGTCATGGAGTAAAAATCATCCAATGATTATGCCACAAGACAAATGACTCAATTTGAAAAACATCAATCATAAATTTTTATTTCTGTAGAAAAGCCATTTTTCGTTATACTTTTTTCATGTTGAGTCGCTTTCGTTTTCATAGGTTTCGTGTAAATAACACAACATTAAATAGAAAAGTTACATTTCAATATTAGATCTTAGAATTTAAAAAGCAAGGAAATACATTTAGATAATTCCAAAAATAAATCAAAGAAAAAGATTGGGTTGAAAATAAGAAAAAAAACGGGATGATATGAAGAGAAAAAGAAAAAAAAGAGAAAAAAAAAAAGAGAAGAACTAAGATCCACAATTGAACAATGTCTAGTTTGTTTACTTTTATCAAAATAGAAGTTCTATAAAAAATAAATTAACCTACTAGCCCAAGAGTATGACCAACTGTACAGTCAAACAGGAAAGAAGATTGGATTTGATGATTTTTCATTAGTAAAGGTTGTTGGAAGAGGTAGTTTTGGAAAGGTACTTCAAGTGAAGAAGAAGGATGATGGAAAGATTTTTGCTATGAAAATTCTTGATAAGTCCAAAGTAATGAAAACTAAACAACAAAAACATACCAATGATGAAAAGAAAATTTTACAACATGTTAATCACCCATTCATAGTTCAATTGTATTATGCTTTCCAAACCCCAGAGAAACTATATATGGTTATGGAATTTATTAATGGTGGAGAATTATTCCATCGTTTAGATTTAGAAGAATGTATTAATGAAGAACAAACAAAATTTTATACCTCTGAATTATGTTTAGCATTAATACATCTTCATTCTTTAGGAATTGTTTATCGTGATCTTAAACCAGAAAATATTTTAATAGATGCTTCTGGCAACATTAAATTAACTGACTTTGGTCTTAGTAAACAACTTTCAAGTGAAGATGATCAAACATCTACTTTTTGTGGAACACCAGACTATTTAGCTCCTGAAATCCTTACTGCAAAAGGGTATGGTATTGAAGTTGATTGGTGGAGTTTAGGTGTTGTTGTTTATGAAATGCTTTCAGGTTATACTCCATTTGCAGCAGATGATGATGGTAATCAAAATGAAACCTATCAAAATATATTAAATAAAGAACCAGAGTTCCTTCCATCAATATCATCTGATGCTCAAGACTTTATAACTTGTTGTCTTAAGAAAGACCCTACTCAAAGAATTAAAGACGATCAGATTAAGGGCCATCAATGGTTTGCTGGAATTGATTGGGATCTTCTCTTACAAAAGAAAGTTCCTGTTCCATGGAAGCCAAAAGTATCTGGAGCTGATGACGTATCTAACATTGATGAAGAATTTACTAATGAAGATGCTCAAAAAATGACACCATCAGAAAATGTAGCATTAAAAGGAGACGAATTTGCCGGATTCACTTTCCAAGATGATGCCGCTCTAAATGGACAACTTTAATTTAAATTAATGTTCAATTAAAATAGTTTTGATTTGAAAGTCATTCACAAACCCAAACAGAAATTCTCTTGAATTCTCCTGAGTTAGTTTTGAAAGCATTAATAGTATTAGTGTAATTTTCATAAATCATTGAGTCAATAATATATGTCTTGTTTACTTTCAGCCAATAACCATAGAAAATTCCAAAAAGATTTTTTGAACTATCACCAAAAAATGAACATACTGCCTCTTTAGGTAATTTAGGTCGATAAATTTGAATGTCACTTAAACATTCCTCAAAGATAATTAATTGTTCATCTCCATTAATCATATCTTGCATAATCTCTTTTGGCATTACTGAATGAAAACTACCAAATATTCCATTTGTTGTTTCAACACATATAATAACATTATTTAATAATTTTGTTTTTTCATAGAATTTACTTGGTTTAATCTCATCAAATGAAGAGTCATAAACACAACTTTTAATAGTTTTGTTGATTTTTTGAGATACTCTTTCAATAACACTTTCATATTGTTTATTTGTTATGTTTTCAGGTCTTGGTTGAGTTGGTGTTTCAGCTGGACCATCAACATTTTGCAAAAAATCCATATTATTTTCAAATAATTGATGAACTTTTACAGGTTCTACTTTCTTTGTAATTAGTGTTTTTCTTGGAGACATTGGTGGTGTAACGGTAACATCCGGAAGGAGTCCAAGAGTATTTTCTCCAATAGTTTGGAGATTTAGATTAGATGAAAGATTTGATGACTGAGAATAATTTTGACGAGGAATATTTCCAGTTGGTAAATTAGAATGAACATAATCCCTTAGTTCGTTTAGTTCATTTCTCATTTCCTTTATTTCAGTTAAAAGCATTAGAAGGAGTTTATCTCTATCCATAAACTTTTATTGTTTCTAAGTTCTTTCCTTTTTGATTTAAAAAAAATTTTTATTGAAAGATCTTTGAAATAATTCTTTTATTTATTTTTTGTATTGATTTAAATCAAAAGAAATCTTTAACTTCAACATTCTTATACAATGCTACATTCTTCTATCCCTAATGCATTTGTAACGCTGGTTAAATAAGACTCTTCTTTAGAATTTTGATTAGAGTTGTATGCTGAATATGAATGGCTTGAAACTCTATCACTATCAATTATTACTTCGTCATTGTGTTCTGGGGTTTCATCAATAAAAATGTCTCTGTCCTCTTCAAACACTGCTTGTTGATTAACATTTTTTCTACCACCTCTTCTACTGCAATCATCTTCTTCACCACCAAGAGTTTCCCATTCGTCAGTAAGTATTTCATTATCAGTTGTGGATTGTACAGAATATTGACGTGGTTCATTTTGAATATGAGAGAATTGAGGTGTATGAGAACTGGCTTGTGCACCAATAGACTTCATCATTTCTTTGTATTTTTTAGCAGAAGGAGAGTTATACTTCTCTTGTAATCCACAATGAAGGTCAACACCATTTTGTTTTAGGTATGCTGCAAATTTTGCATTTCCACCTTGCTTCATAATCTCTAATTCAGAGTACTTCCATTCGTCCATATCAATTGATCGTACAAATGTTAAATGAACACCTAATCCACGATGAAGTCCAGCACATTGAATACAAAGAAAAATTCCATAAGTAACAGATGCCCAGGTAGGATTTGCAGTCCCACATTCAAAACATCTACAATTTTCTCTTTGTTGTTTGAGTTGTCTCATAACATTATCCCTTTCTTGATGTGTGGCATAACTCATCTTTATTTTTGTTTTGGCAACTGAATTTTAAAAGTACTTTTTCTATAAAAAATAAATTATGTTGTTTATAACAAAATATCTCTTTTTAATTACAATAATACATTATTCCATAAGATTCAAGACGAATTAATTGTTTAGGAACAGCTTTGAAAGCTGAACGATGGGGAGACATTAGTTCTGTAACATTTCCATGAATTTTTTTGACATGTATTCTTAAGTGTTTTTTAGCATCATTTTTACGTTTAAAACGTAAAGTACAACCTGGGAATGGACATTGAAATGGCTTTTCATCAGAATGGTAAAGCATATGAATCTTAAGATCAGTAGCACGAGCAAAACGTTTCTGACAAATATTACAACAATATGGCTTAACTCCTGTATGAATTCTAACATGAATTTCACACTCTGATTTTCTTAAGAAAGCTTTACCACAAAACTCACAGACATGTTCTTTAACAGTAGAATGTCGGCTCATATGTCTATGAAGAGACTCTTCACTATCATAACACTTCCCACAACCTTCATGTGGACATATATACTTTCCAGTTGTATGTTTCTTACTAATAAATTTATCATAAATGATATTCACACTACGTTCTATTTGGCTTTCCATTTGTTATAATTAATTTAATCTCATCTCATTATAAGATATTTCAAAAGAGCCAAAACTTCTTCTTTGCTCTGAACTGAAAGAGAGCCAATTCTGAATAATTATGAAACGTATCTTTTCATTTGTTGAATTTTCTTATCTTCTTGTCTTCTATGAACAACAAAATATCTTCTAGTTTTATTATAGTTTTAATTTAATTTATACTTAGTTGAACAAAAGAAGAGGAGACAGTTTTATTTTAAGGATTTTAAAAAAAGGAAAAAGAGACACACACTAAAATAGTTTCTATTTTTAAATAACTGAATGTGTTTTTGTATTAATAACACAACTTAACAAACCTTAACTGTGAAAAATAAATATCAAAGTTTATTAGTTTTATTGAGTAGTTTGGCTAATCCTTTTTGTTTAATTTAAAATATTGAATGTTTTATAAAAGAATAAAATAGATAATATGAGAGAATGGTTGACAACTCAGCAATAGAGAGTTTTAAATAGTTTATTTGGTAATAGAAGTTGAGAGATAGCTTTTTTATTATTTATACGTCTTTTTTTAGTAATTGAAATATTCTGTTTATCTAGAAAGAAAATATTATAAGTGTCAGTTTTTCTTTTAAGTTTTGTTCTAAATGTTGAGTATAGTACAACACTAAGTTTGAGAGAATAATTAAAAAAGATACAAACAATAATTTTGTTTTGGTTATTGAAGAGTTATAAGATAAAGTTTTACCACAAAATAAAAAACATATAATTGTTTATTTTAAAGAAAGTATTATCCATTAAAAATGGGGTATGAGAAACATCTATAGATGAAATAATGATTCTTTCAACTCTCAATGTGACAAAAGAATAAATGCTTAATATAATAAAATAATTTCTTTATTTTAAAATAAAGATTTATTTAAAATATTATTGTGAATGCTAATTATTTACAAAGACTTGAGAAGTAACTATTTTCTAAATCGATTTTTATAATAATAAATAAATACTTTGTAAATGAATGATATGAATATAAACAAAAGAATGTCTCTCTTTATTTTATCAGAACTTTAATTAGATTTATAATATCTTTATATTCTTTCAAAACATAATATTTCTTTCTATCATAAATACTTTCTCTTTTTAAAGTTTGAATAGTATTTATATTATATGTTTTTTTATAAATAATTCAATTTTAACATATTATTTGATTTTATAAACAATATTTTGAATAAAAACACTTCAATGGACAATATATTCAAAGAAATTAAAACAGGTGATAAAAAATAAATAACATTGACTTGTCCTTGTCAAAATAAAATAACTTTAATAATTGTTTTTTATTTCTAATGGTAAAAATGTTTTGGTTCAATACAATAGAATTACAAATTATTACAAATGACTATTATAACAAAAATATCAAATGAATTTATCACTTTTTGTAAAGTTTTGATGTTTAATAATAATTAATATTTCTTGAAGAAGAGTAAACTGGTATATGAAAAATATAATAAAAATTGAAGTTTATTATTTTATTAAATACATTGAACGAAAAATTCCTTAATTAAAAGAAGCGTAATAACTAATATAATTATTTAGTAAAAATAACATGAAGAGACTAATAACCAAAAATTAAATAAACATTGAGCATACAACATCGTTAAAAATCAATATATAAAATTAAATTTAGCATTAGTATTTGTAAAAAACATAAATATGCACTATACAAAACATATTTAACTAAGTTAATATAGAATTATTGAATTATATATTTGAATGAGTGATTTAATTAATAAAAATTGAGGTTTCAATAAATTGTAATACCAATATAAAATATCAAAAAATAAAAATGCGTAACAAAATAGAATTATCAAATAAATAAGTCAAATTTGACTAATCCATTTCATACATAAAAACAATTATTTGGTTAGGAATTAAATTAGAATTAAATTATATTATTTAAGAATAGTTTATATTTACTGTTTCTTTTCATTATTTATTTATTCTTTTTGTATTATTTCTTTCATCTGTATTATTTTTTGTTGTTAATTTTATTCATTTAAATTTTATTCTTTCACCATCTTTTTATTTTATTCTTTATTTATTTCTTTTGGAAATATTTATGATGAATTATTGTTTTATTCTATAATTTATGTATTTCATTTTATCTTTTTCTATTCTTTTATTAATTCATTTTCATTTCTTCTTTTTGTATTTTGTATATTATATTTAATGTATTATGAAATATATGTATTATCGTTATTATTTTATTTCATAATTATTTACAATTTAAATATATTCGTTATGAATTTTGTTATTTCTTTGTATTTTAAATTTCAATTATTTTTTAAAATGCTCATTCCATTTTATTTATTCGTTGTTTTTGAATGTGATACTTAAATTTTATTTTATTTGTTGCATTACATGTTTATTTAAACATTTAATCAATATTTATTCTTTCTATTTTTATATTCATTCTTATTTCTCTTTATTTATAAATTCATCTTTATTTGTATTGTTTCTTTTATTCTTATTATTAAATATTCATATTTATTTTCATTTTAATTCTTTGATATTTATTTATTATATTCTCTGTTATTTTATATTCTCATGAATAGCATTTCCATTTTGGTTTTCATAAAAATATTTAAAATATATTTCCATTTTTATTATTTATATTTTCTAATTTCTCAAATCATCGAAGAGAAATTCCCAAAAGCAAATCACACATTATATATGGATGATTTGAGAATAATGATGCAAAGTAGTGAAGAAATGGGAATAATCCACAACGAAATTAAAGAAATAATAAGTGGAATAGGGATGGAAATGAATGAGAAAAAGTCAGGAATGGTATTAAAAAACATTAAGAAAATCCCAGATGGAATGCAAAACATCCCCGTAGTTGAAGGTGAGGACTTGTATAAATACTTAGGAATATGGCAGTCCGATGAAATTGATGACACCTTCAATTGTAAATCCATCAAAGAAAAAATGAATCAAAAGATGGAAGAAATAAACACTGATGAAAGTAGTAATAGAAGATATATTACTAGAATAAACACTGAAGTAATCAATATCTTCAGATATTCAGCATCAGTTGTAAATTGGAAAATCACTGAATTAGATAAAATTGATTTGGAGATAAGAAAATATTTAAGAAAGGCAAAATACAATGATGAAACTTCAAAGATAGGTTGTATGTCCCTCAAGAAGAAATGGGTGAAGGATTAATAAACATAAATGACGAATATGTTATTGAATTAGTTAGAACAGTGATGTACTACTGTACCAGAGAAAGTGAAATTGGAAATAACATATTAGATAGATGGTACAATAAGAAGGGAATATTGAATAGAATTAAAAACAATAATTCATATAAAATCCCAGAAACAAAAATAGAAGAAATAATAAATGAAGGGATTGAAAAGAAAAAAGAAAAAGAAGTAGTAGTAGAAATAAAGAAATTATTGATAAATACATCAAAAAATGGAAGTATCATCAAATAAGTGACATCTTAGAAGATGGTTCATGTCAAAATGAGTAGATAAAACTACTACAGTGAAAGCATGGAAGTCATTCAATATTAAAAAGAACACATTCCTACAATTAACTAAAATGAATGATGGAGCAATATTTTGTGTGTATAGAAAATCAAAAATAATGAAAAATGAAAGATTAAAATACTCAACACTTTGTAAAGACAAGATAGCTACAGTAGAACACATTCTACTATCTTGTATTTATCATAATAAATCACAAATGGAAAAATATGACAATATTGGCATTATAATATTGATTAATAAGAAAATATACAGGAAATAAGCAATATAAAACCCCCATATGAAACAATATTCAAATATAAAGACATCACAATGATATTGAACAAACAAATAATGCATAAAAGTGATGGACAATATCATAAAATACCAGATATATACGTATTAGATAAAAAGAATAAAACTGGTCTAATATTTGATATGACTATTGTGGCTGATAATAATATTAATGGAGAATATTGGAAGAAAAGAATTAAGTATAATGAATTAAAGAATAGGTTAATGAAAATAGAAAAATTAAAAGATGTCAAAATAAATCCAGTAGTAATTTCAATCAATGGATTAATAAATAAAGAAAGTATTAAATTAATTAAAGAATTAAAAATTGAAATTGACATCATTAAAGAAATTAAAAACCTTGTCATAAAAAACATTATAGATGTCATTGAATATTGTTTCAACCACAATCAAACATACTCCGTAGAGCTGCTAGAAGAAGAAGACGAAGGGACGGGATTAGTCTCCCCTGAGCCAGGAAGAATAGAAAATTGTTTATTATATGAGCATTTTTGTGAATAGAATGAAATTTTTATTCAATTTCCTTTATTTTTTAACTTCTTTATTTAACGAAACAAGTAATAATTGATGTAGGATTTTTTTATTTCAGCACATTATTTTATTAAGAACAAAAATACCTTTTATAGGATGAAGTGTTACATAACAAGTAATGTTTATTTTGTTTTAAAAATGTTTATAATCGATTGGTTTATACTAACTCAGCTTAAAATGGATTGTACAAAAGAAAAGAAATATGTTTTTAAATAAACACAAATATATTGATATTTGAAGAATTGGTAAAACATTTAATACAACTACAGCAATAACAAAATAGCATTTGGTAAGAATATTAATTGATTAAATAAAATAAATTCAATGTTATTATTCATATTTTTTAAATTTTAAGTCAATAAAAATGAGTATAAATGGATTAATTAACGAAGTATTTATGAATACATTTTATTTGTGAAAAAAAAATAAAACAATCAATTTTACTTATAAAATAACAATTTTTAATTGAAAATCCCCATAAAATTGGGATTTAAAAAAGGTAAAAATAAATTTATTAATTTATTAATAATAAAAAATAGTATTATATAAAAAACAAAAAAAAATTAACTATAAAGTTTATTTCATGTTTTCATTTGGTAATTTATTTAGAAAAAATACATCTTCTACTCCATCACGACCTAAAGGAAATTCTACTTCTAATGCACCAATTAATCTAAACTTAATTAAAACACCAGAAATTAATGGAGTTACATTTTTTAATGATTACCAAGTACATTGTTTAAGTTTTATTAATGACCTTGGAAATGGACTTGAAAGTATGATGGACTATTCTCCTGAAGCAACAAATATTGCTATTAGAAGGGCAGAAGCTATGGACCAATCATTAAAACGAATGGAATTTCTTTCTAATGGCTTAGAAAAATATTTAAATGAAATGGTTATGATTGCACAAACTCCTAAACCAACAATTTCTACTGAAATAACACCTTTTAAAAGACAAAGAACATTAGAAAATATGATCATTTCTCAAGTTAATGAATCAGAAAATATTTCAAATAATTAAATTATCAATTCATTGATTTTGTGGTTGTTCTAAATGATAGCCTTGTTTAATGTCATCATACTCTTTTATATTCTCTTTTAAATATTCAAACTCTTTTTCTCTTAATTCTCTAACAACTTTAGCTGGAGATCCCATTACTAATGAATTATCTGGAATAACTGTTCTTGATGTAACGAGAGAATTAGCTCCAATAAGAACATTCTTCCCAATTTTAACATCATCTAAGATGGTTGATCCCATTCCAATCATACTTCCATCTCCTACTTCACATGAGTGAAGAATTACTGAATGTCCAATGGTAACATTTTTACCAACAATAGTTGGCTTTCCAATTGAGGTATGAACAACAGAACAATCTTGAACATTAGAATTTTCTCCAATAACAATCTTTGCCATGTCACCTCTTAGTACAGCATTGAACCAAATACTTGCTTTACTTTCTACTTCAACATCACCAATTAAAAATACTCCTGGAGTAATAAATGCATCTTTAGCAACTTTTGGTACATTACCATTATGTGGTATAAATTGTTGAGAAGACATAACTAACAATTTTAAGTTTCACTTCAATCTATATGAGTCAAGGTATATCGAATTTCGTAGTACCAAAAAATCTTCTTTTCCTTCAATGTAAATTCAAGGAAATAACAACATCAATGTAATTAGAATTAATGAAATTGTAATACTTAAATAATAAAATTATTTATTTTAAATAAAAAAACTAAAACTTAAAAAAATAATGGAAAAGAACGTTCAGAAGTTATATGATCGTTCTATTCGTACTTGGGGAATAGAGGCACAACAACTATTATTAAATTCTCACATCTTAGCTGTTGGATATGATCCATTAATGTCAGAAATATTGAAAAATGTTGTAATCAGTGGAATATCAAAAGTTACTGTGATTGACACTTATAAAGGTGAACCAATTTATACTACTCAGTACGATAAAAATCATTTATTTACACCTGAACAAGGTGGTGTTGTTTGTTTATTATTTGATTGTATTATAAAAATTTAACAAAAGTAGAGAACATCATCTATTGAAAAAGTAAAAAGTGTTAATAGTGATTTAACAATTAATGTAATTAAAGAAAGTCAATTAAATGATGACTTATTTAATTCTCTTTCTTTAATTATTTGTACTCTTCCAGATGAACATTTATTATCAAAATTAGAATCTTCAAGTAAACCAATAATTTTTTGTTCAAGCGTTGGAGGTGTTGGTAACTTTTATGTAACTAACATCAATGGACATTACAAGCCAATTAAAGAATACATCCTTTGTGATACTCCAAAAATGGTTGCAAGACAAATTATTAAAACATATTTTATTCAATACAATACAATGGATACTTATTCTGTTGATACACTATCTTCATCATTTGTTCATCTTCTCAATAAAGAAGAACAACTTGAGTTATTAGTTGGATTTAATTATGCTCCAGTAAACAGTGTTATTGGTTCTCTTGCTGCTCAAGAAGTTATAAATATCATTGGTAAAAGGCCAACATATACCAATGAAGACTCTAATGGTTTTATTTATGATTCTGTTAATAATATTGGAGATATTATTTGTACAAATCCAACACTACAACAAAAGAATATGAAGATAAATGAAAACAAACATTTTGTTATTCTTGATTAAAAGTAATTAGACTCTTTCTTTATTGTTATTAAGTTCATCAATTGAGAAGAAGAAGAAGAAAGGAAAGATAAGAATAAGAATAAGAATAAGAATAAGAATAAGAATAAGAATAAGAATAAGAATAAGACATGAATAAAGAAAGAGAAATAAAGAAAAAGACACAAGAAGATAATAAAAAACACAAAATTTAATTTATTTGTAAAATAATTTTCTTTGTTATAAAACATAAAAATGAGAAAATAAAATGAACTTTAAAAATGAAAGGTAAAGAAGAACAGCACCAAAGATGAGTGAGGCAAGATTAGAAGAATTAAGAATGAAAACAATTTCTCAAATTAACCGACCATATTATATGGAAGGGAATGTTACACTTTTTGATAAAAAATGGAAAAAACGATATTTAATTTGGAAAGGAATGGTACTATATTTTTATGATAAAAAAGGAAGTAAAGACATTACAAAAGAAGTATATGAATTAAGTAAAGATACAACATGGAATATTGAATTTGATAATAAAGAAAAGAAAAATATTATTAAGTTAAAAGGGAAAAGTGAAGTAATAATATTAGTAGATGAAACAATAACACTACTTGAAAATGGATATAATCAATTCAAACAAGATATTGAAACAGAAAGAAAACGAATTGAAATAGAACAAAGCAAAATGAAAGAACCAATTTTATTAAATTGGGAAGAAGTTGAAAAGAGAATAAATATAAAACAAGGGAAATGGAATAGTAAAGAAGTACAAACACTTTTAAAAGAACTTGGACAAATAACTACAGAAAAATATTTATATGATATTTTGTGTAAAATTCTTAATGGATGGAATGAACAAGAGTTCATTGATTTTTTTTATAAAGAATATTGTGAAGAAGACCTTGAAGATATGGGATCTTTTCTAGCTGGTTCTAATAAAGATAATACAACTATTCAATTTGTATTTGGAAATGATGAAAAAGGAGCACATTTTATTGCAAATATTTATAAAAAAATTTATAAACAATATGAACTTGTTTGGAGTGAAATTGCAAGATGTTTATTAGTTTCATTAGCTTCATGGAAATTAACATCTAAAGATAAAATGTTTCAAATAATTACATTAGACTTATTTAATCTATTTGAAACAGCAGAAATAGTTACATTTCTACATTTTTATGCAGATTATGAAGAAGAATTAAATATTTGTTTATGGTGTTCATTACCAGAACATATTCAATTTTATTTAAAAGAGTTTGTGTTTTATAATACTATTTAAACTATAATTTTATTATAAGAAAATATTAATAAAAATTAGAATCACTAATGGATGGAAAAAAGACCAAATTAATTCTTTGATTTCTATGATCACATTAATGTGGTCTTGGAAGTCTGATGATATTGAACATTTAAAACATATTTTAATTTAAACAAAATAAAATAAAAATTTTCTTTTTTATGATTAAATAAGAAACAAAAATTTAAAACAAAGGAAGTCTTTTATTTGAAACAATTATTGTATTTTTAGAACAATCTATTTATTTTTTTCAAATTGTTAAAGAACTATTATTTCTAATAAAAAAGTATTGTTTTTAAACTTATTAAACTATTAAACCAAATTCTTCTTTTAATTCCAAAAAAAAATATAAAAAGTAATAATAATAAATTACGTGGATACTAAAAAGAATAAAATGCCAGATCGAAAAACCAGTGAAATTCTAAATATCCAAAAATAGAAAAACCAGTGAAATTCTAAATATCCAAAAATAGAAAAACCAGTGAACTGAAAGAAATTAGAGAACTTGTTTCGTATCTAATAAATAATATGCCACAAACACACCATTTTAAAATTGTGTTACTTGGTTCAGGTTCAGTAGGAAAATCAGCTATTGCCACTAGATATGTAAAAAATACATTTATTGGAAGATATGACCCAACCATCGAAGAAACATTTTCTAAGACGATTGAAATTGATGGAACAACTGTACAATTAGAAATTTATGACACCGCAGGGACGGTTTGTTATTTTATAGTTAAACTAATAAGAGTAATATAATTCTATACTTCAAAAAAAGGGTTTTTAAATTCATATTAACGAAATAATAGGAACAATTCAGAACTTTACAAGACCTTTATATGAAAGAAGGTGATGGTTTCATATTAGTCTTCTCTCTTGTATCAGTTGCTACTTTTAACGACCTTTCAAGTATTTATGGACATATTAATGAAGTTAAAAATTCAATGGAAAAAAAATTTGTTCCAATTGTTATTGCAGGAAATAAATGTGATTTAGATAATAGAACTGTTACTACTGAACAAGCCCAAGAATTTGCAAATAATAATGGTTGTCATTTTATGGAAACATCAGCAAAGACTCAAAAAAATATTAATGAAATGTTCGAATATCTTACAAGACAATTAATAGAACATTTACCAGCTAAGAAACAAAAGTGCTTAATATTATAATTTTGTGTGCACATTAAACATAAACACCTTAATTTAAAGATTTTTTACTTTTTAGGATGTTTTTCTTTTTAGGATTTTTTCTTTTGACTTTTTTCTTTTTGTGATTTTTTTATCTATCCTTTAAAAGAAAAGAAATAATCTCATCTATTATCTTGTTGTCATTCTTTTTATTGATTATTATTATTATCAACTTTTTATTTAATGACTTTTAATTATTTCATCGTAATACTTTATTTAGAGAATTAATATTATTAAAATTTTTATCATATAACCATATTACGCTAAGTTATTAATTTTCTATCAATAACCTTGACTCTGGGTTTCAGTGCGTTAAGCGAAACCGTTAGTTAGTAAAAAAAAATTAAAAAAGAGAACTTATAAAATTTTCAACTTCCAGATGTCTAAAGACAACAAACCAACGCAGAAAGTAAATTCCAAATTCTCAAAGGAAGTGTTTCTTAAGATAAAAGGATTTATTGAAGATTCACAAAATAAAGGTTTTTTGATTTCTGCGAATTCGTTAAGTTGTTTCAACGAAGAGGAAACAAGTGGAAATATCGTTGAAATTGAGTCTTCAGATTTGGATACTTTTAATGTGACAAAGAAGTGGACAACAATAACAGAAAAAGAAGGGACTAAAGAAGATGTCAATACGGAAAATGAGCGATTACAAGAAGCTATTAAAGGACTTCCTAATGAAATGGTTTTAAGTTTAGATGAATTTGGATTTCAATTATGGAAATTAATTCATAAAATTCCTATTATATCTTTGAATGATAATGCTCAATCTAATCAATGGTATGGAAGAGAGATTAAAATGTCTCCATCATTAATTTGTATTAATAAAAATAGAGAGTATTTGACTCCCTTCCTAAAATTTCCTCCTTTTGAGGAAGCCAAAAAAATGATAACTCAAGAATGTTTTATTCCTAAGAATAATAATAACAAAGTTGTGTATTATTACACTAAAACTGAATTCCAAGAATGGTATAATAAAGTTGTTGTACAACACGCAATAAATGTAAGGTCATATTTAAATATTGATCGTAATGTTGTGGTGATAATGGATGAATATTTTAAACCTTTTGTTGAACCATTACAATGTCCAGGAGTTTTTCCATTCTTTATTAAGACTGAATGCTCAGACCAAGTCAATTTTATTTCAGGAGTTATTAATTCATATCTTAATATGTTAAAGAATGAGTATGATATTAACGAAAATACAATAGAAGGAGATATTCCTGGATTTATTAAGGAAGTACTTAATAACCATTTATTCATTTACAAATTATTAGAAAATTTAGAACCAGCATCATCAACACCTATTAAATTTATTAATCAAAACACTAAAGTTAATATATATAACTACTTGACTAATTCTAAAAATGAATCAGAAAAGACTATGATAACCGATTCTATACAAAAAAATGAACTTATAACTTTTATTAATCAACTTTTATTAGAAAGAAAATGTGTCACTTTAGACACAATCAAAAACTATTGTAAAATTAGATTCCAAATAGATGTCAATGAAGAAGAGTTAAATGAAATTATAAAAACGATTGGACTTATTACTAAAACTGACTTTTGTAATGTTGAAAATAAAGACTTTTTATTAAGTGATGTTGAAGAGTTTGTTCGTGGGATGTTATATTATCAGGAAATACCAGTTAATAGAACTGTCTTTATTGACTTTTTTGACTATCGACTTAGTGCTGCAAATAGAATGAAAATTGTTACTGATAAGCAACACCTTAATGAAGCTATGACTATCTCAAGAGAAAGTGTACAATCAAGCATTGCAACTGCATTACTTGGTGATGGACCATTATTACCATTATTGGTTGGAATGAGTCCATTTGCTAAAGAAAAGAATGGAATGGCTTTAGAACAAAGTGGACATATAGTTATACCAAAAGAGTATATTGAATTAAGTGATTTCAAACAATGGGTATTATATATTGCCAGATATGTTAAAGAGTTGTACTTAAAAAAAAATATACATGATACTTCTCCTAAACAATTCCTCATTGTTATACCTAAATTCTTCTATGAACTTATACAACAAATTAAGAATGAATTATCTAAACTTGGATTTGTTGTTGTCTTTATTTCTGATAATATTAGTTGTGTTACTCCATTAAGTGATATGATTAATAGAGTGATTGATAATATCATTAGAGATAGAACTATTCTTCCAGGTAAGGATATATTAACTTTAGATTATAATTTTCAAATAGCTAAAAAAGTCATTGATGTTTGTCGAATTGATGTTATACAGATGGTGTGTTGGCCATGGAAATATTATCATGACTCAAACCAGTTTACTTTAGGAAATATTGTTTCTGAAATTCGTAAGAGAAAAGAGTGTTATGATTTTAAGACATTATGCTCTCCAAAAAAACTCATTGGTGCAGACCTTCCTTGTGATACTTTTAATCTTATGAATGTACCACAATTTTATAGAAATTCTATCAGGTTATTCATAGGGTCTAACAAATTTTCTAATGCTTCTACGAAAACTGAACAATTAAATTTATTAAAAGGTGTATATCAACGATTTGGACTAATTCCTCTTCAAACTTTATTTGAGGAAGCAACCAATTTAGTAGTGAAAAGGAGCTATTAATCAAAATAAATGATTTGTTTTTTAATTACATTCTTTTTTCTTATAACAGAAAAACGTTATTAATTAACTTAATTAATATTTTGTATTTTCTTCTTATTAAAAATTTACCATACCTATTTTTTTAATAAGCATTTATGTTTATTAAGACTTCCATAATATGATTTTTATTTAAATTCTATTTATTTTTTGATTTAAAAAAGATCATAATAAATTTCATTACTTCTATTCTAAAAATAATATAATTTATTTATAAAAGTACTTTCATACCACATAGTATAGACTTTAATTTAAATACATTAATACAACCTTTTTCAAATTATCTCTTTTTGTAATAATATCCTCTAAGATTTTAGTCTTCTTTATTAATTATTTATTCTTTTATTACTAACAAATTATTATTCTCTTATGAAATTTAAACAGTCTTTTTCAATAAAAAATATTAATACAAAAACAAATGCTTTTCTTTAAGAATATATAAAAAAACCTTAATTTATTATTTTTATGAAACTTCAAAATTATATTCTTTTTATTAACTAACGAAGAATAACAAAAGACCAAGAAAGAAAAGCCTTCAATTTAATAAGCACATTTTGTCTCTCTTGGAGTTGGTGGCATTTCTGCAAAATAGAAATAATCAGGACATTGTTGTTGTCCAATAATTTCCGGACATTCAGTTTGTAAAAATTTATCTGCTGATGGAGTGAAACAAACATTTACTGAAGTGAGCATTTGTTTATCTTCAGGATTTTCACATCTCCATTGAACTGGAGCAAGGAAACCACGAACAGAAAGTAAGTCATTAATTTTTTGTTTAGAATAAACGTATTGTTTACCAGGAATGTAATTATAATGTCTTAATGTTGTCCATACGTTATAATTTTGGAAAAGAAGTAAAGTAGCATTGAAATATCCATATGGAGTATGATATTCTTTTGGTAAACATGTTCCATGAATAACATATGATTTAGCTGCTATATCACATTCACTATATCCACTCCAATAATTAGATATTTCTGATTGATAGAAATAATTATGATTTATTAAATTTGGTATAAAACTCTCTAAATCATCCCTTCTTCCATCAAAGTCACAACACTTCTTTGTTGTTCCATCTTCAATTACAGCTAATCCATTTAATACCATCCCATCTTCAATTATTACTTTATCTTTTGGAATACTACACTTCTCAATTGAACACATTCCTCCAATCCAATTATATGACAACATATATTTTGAGTCTTTCGAAACTTCATACTTCTTATATGAGTCACACCATGTCCCTAGTGCTGAAACAATAAATATCACTCCAATCATTTAATTGTTTAAATTTTATTTTTAAAAGTTCTTTTGGATCTCTTAATTTTTCAAGTTCATTTTCTTTTTCAAATATCTTTTTTTTTAATTTTTATAAATTTTGTTATATATAACTTTAAAAATTATTGGATCTTTTCTTAAATTATTTTTCTAAATACAAAGTATCAAACCAATACGTCTCTCTAACAAAATACTAAATAAGTACCACCCCTTTATAAATAAATTAGTTGTTCAAAGTTATATTTGTTTTTGTTAATGTAATTTATTTTTTGTTTTTCCTTTCTATTACTTGGGTTTAAATTCCTTAAAATAATGGGAAAAATCTTCAATTAGTATCTTTTTATTTTTAGCTTTTCATTTAATTGTTCATTTTATAAAATTTAATATATCACTTTTTTAAAAAGTATAAATTGTATTTTAAGAGAGTTTAGTATTTGTAATAGAAAACATTTTATTAAATAATACAATAAACCCCCAATGTATATTTAAAACAAAAGCTATACCTTTTTTATTGAAACACCTCCTTTCTTTCATAATACTTTTTATACCCCCAAATTTATTAACTCTAATTGATTTTTCATTAACGCCATCAAATAAACAAATTTACTATTCAATCAATATTTTTGTTTTTTTTTTTTAATTCTTTGCCATTATTTTTATAAATCAAAAAATTCTTTTTGAGGTTATTTGTTATTTGATTAAATACAAAATGAAAGAAAGATAAAGAGAATAATAGAAGAATGAAAATGATAAATAAATATAAATGATAAAATAATATTTAAATATCTATAATTTATTAGAATGACTTACTATTTAACTTATATTGTTATTTTTACTTCTTTTTTATTTTGTGATATGTTGTGTTATTTCTATTTGATTATATTTTTGTTATATTATTTTTGTTGTTTATCTCATAAATTATGTTTTATTTCATTTATTGTCTTAAATCACAACTATCCAGTCATTAGTGTTGTTACAACATGAAACAACAATATTAAAGAAGAGTCAAAAACAAAGACACTCACAATAAAAGAAGAAAGACATATAAAAAGAAACAAGAAGAAGTAAAGAAGAAATAAGAAAAATTGAATAAAAGTATTTCTTTTGAAAATAGACTCTCAAATGATATAATTTATTCCCCTTTTTATTTCTTTTCCTTTCTTGATTCATTCTTTTTCTTTATTTACGTTAAAAAAAGGAAAAAAAAAAGTATAAAAACTGAGAATAAAACGAATATTTTCTAAAAATAAATGAAAAAAGGAGAAAATAATAAACTGTAAAAATTATTGCGTGAGATGGCTCTTGCATCTATTCACAGTGCTTTTTATCCCCTTGATAAAGTGATGGAAATATCAGGTCCTACAGAAAGGCCATTCTCTATTCTTAAAGCACAAACCACTCGATTAATATCAACATATGTACATATTAACCCTGAATTTCAATATCATGACGTTCCAAGGGTAATACTTACAGAACCTAAAACTCCAATGCATAATTATGGATTAGATAATAGTAATTATGAATTAATTGTACGTGTTGGAGATATATTAGGTACTTCTACATCATTTGAAGGAAAAGAATATTCAATGAATCCAAATGTTATTACACAATATAAAGTTATTAGTAAATTAGGACAAGGAACATTTGGACAAGTATTTAAATGTAAAGATCTTCAACATGATAGAGAAGTTGCTATTAAAATATTAAAAAATAAAAAAGCATATTTTAGACAAGGAATGCTTGAAATTACCGCTTTATTGTTATTAAATAAATTTTATGATACAAAAAAACAAATAGTAGAAATCTTAGATCACTTTTTATATTGTAATCATCTTTGTATTGTCACAGAATTACTTGGATGTTCATTATATGAATTAATGAAATTAAACAAAAAATCTGGATTTTCATTACCAACTATTCAAACTTTAAATAAACAAATATTAGAATGTCTTGTTGTTTGTAAACAAGCATGTATTATTCATTGTGACATTAAACCAGAAAATATATTATTAACAGGAATATCATCAAAACTAAAACTAATTGATCTTGGTTCATGTTGTTTTGATAATTATTCATTATATTCATATATCCAATCAAGATTTTATCGTGCACCAGAAGTATGTATTGGTTATAGATATAATTGTGCAATAGATATGTGGTCTTTTGGTTGTATGGTTGCAGAAATGTTCTTTGGAATTCCATTATTTGTTGCAAATAGTGAATTAGGATTATTAAGAAAACAAATTAAATTCCTTGGAATGCTTCCAGCAGAGATGTTAAATAGTGGAACTAAAACAGAAAATTATTTCAATCGTTTCTATCATGCAGATGGTACTTTTGAGTATGTTTTGAAAGATGATGAAGAATTTGAAGAAGAATATTGTGTAGAATTACCTGAAGAAAAGGATTACTTTAAGAAAAAGAGTTTAAAGGAATTAGTGTATTTACATAATATTATTTTAGATGTTTCTAAAATTCCTGTTGATCCTGCAACATTACGACTTACATTATTTGATTTTTTGAGTAAATGTTTAGCATACAAACCAGAAGATAGATTAACTCCACAAGAGGCATTAGTTCATCCATTGTTTAATGCAAAATTAAAATCAGAAAAGGATATGAAAAAGAAAGTAAAAGTACCAAATTTACAACTAAAAACTCCAAAGAAAAAACATGAAATTAAGAAAGAAGATAGATTACAAGAGTTAGGATATAATTCAAATAGAATTAATACTAATTCCCCATTAGACTATTATAAAGCATTTTTAAAACAATTGGAACAAGGACATATTCCATTAATTACTGAAGAAAATCCATTTGAAGAAGAAATGACTCCGGAAAGTCTTTCATTAGTTTTCCAAAAGGAAAGAATGATTCCACAAACAAAAATAGAAAAACAATGTCATACACCAAGAAGAATTCGTGCTGTTTCATTTGATGGACCTGCAATTAATAAAGAAGTTCATCAAACAAAAGTTCCTTTACATACTCACACTGGTTCATTAGGTACAATTGAATCAACAGAATCTAAATCAAAGAAGAAAAATTATAAAATTCCTACTCTCAAAAAAGTCAGTCGTGAAGGTTCTGGTTCATTAATGTCATCTTCTGAACCTTCAAATTCAACAGTAAGTACTCCAAGAAGAAGACTCTTATCACTTGTTTCTCCTAGAAAAACAGAATCTCCACAAGAAAGTCCAAGAAGTTCAACTAAATTAAGTTTCCTTATACCTTCATTTATGAGAAAAAGAAGTAATTCTCCAAGTGGAGGAAGTTCAGATAATGAAGGTTCTGTTCAAGAACTTTCATCAACTCCTGAAAGATGATTTTTTTTAATTTATTTCCATTCATCATTTGATACTTTGTAAATCAATAATTTAATAATCTTTCATTTGTTATTGTTTTTGAATGATTTTAAAATAATAATTTTGATTTATGTTGATATTATTTCCTTTAAAAAACACAAAATGATAGAATTATGTTATTTTTAACCCTAAAAAAAATTAAAATAAAAATTAAAAAAATTTCAGAAAGAAATGGTTTGTGGATTGTGCATTGTTAAATACATGATTATATCATATCACTTCATATGAAAAGAAAATACATATTCAATGAATATAGCAAAAACAAACATCAAGGTTACGAAGAGAATATTTAATGAAAAAAAGTATGGAAAAATATGATAAAACACGACTTGACAAACAAGCCATTATTGCTCAAACAATTGAGAATGGAACTCAATTGCCTGCTCATGCAAAAGAAGGGTTTGATGTTGCAATGACTAGAATGGATGCTGAAGATGATGCAACAAGACAAGTTTCAACATACGATAGTGAATATGCAATGGCAGGAGTTAAAGATCCAAATGTTTTTATTACAACATCAAAAGACCCATCAAGCAAATTAAAAGAATTTGTTAAAGAAATTAAGTTAATTATTCCAAATTCAACAAGAATTAACAGAGGTAATATTCAAATTAAACAATTAGTTGAAACATGTAGAAGTCATGATGTAACTGATTTGATTATTGTTCATGAAAATAGAGGAGAACCAGATGGAATGATTATTTCACATTTTCCATATGGACCAACAGCATATTTTGGGTTATATAATGTTGTTTCTAGACATGAAACAAAAACATCTAAAACATTTAGTGAAGTATATCCACACTTAATATTTGATAATCTCACTACACCATTAGGTAAACGATTTGAAATGATACTTAAATATTTATTCCCTGTACCAAAAAGTGATTCAAAAAGAGTAATGACATTTTCTAACAGTAGTGATTATATTACATTTAGACATCATGCATATGATTATAATGAAGAACATCAATTAGTTCTTCAAGAAATTGGTCCAAGATTTGATTTACGACCATACCAAATCAAACTAGGAACAATTGATATGGATTATGCAGAAAATGAATGGATATTAAGAAGTTTCATTAATTCAGCTTCAACAAGAAAATTACTTTGATTGAAATTAAATATTTTTTAATACCTCATTAACATTTAATTTTATGTTGCATAACTTTCTTCATCAATTTTATTCAACTTCAAAATGTCATTAATTTATTATAACAAATGAATAAGAATAACATCAGTGAACTTTATGCACAATGTATTCAATTATGTAACACAAATAAAGTCAATAAAAAAAATGCATGGGATGTTCCTATTATTGATTTGATGCAAGACATAATTAATGAAAATGATGATAAAAGCAAATTCCAAAGAGCTAGTACTTCTATTGATGCTTCATTGTTGATTTATTCTTATAGAGTTGATGATATTTATCAAGCATTTGCTAATTTTGCTGAATTAATAACTACAAATCAACTAGACAAAGAAGTAAATGTTCAAAGTCAACAAACTGAGTATAAAGATAAGACTCTTCATATAAGAAAACCTAAAAAACTCAAATTACAAACACTTGAAAAATATCCAGCAAATTTAATTAATAAATCTTCAAGAAAGTCATATCAAAATGACTTGTTGTTCAAAGTATATCTTCAAAAATATAATACTCATTTTTTATCATTAATTGGTGATCACGCTTCATTTCTTGGTGATTGGAATCAATCCATTAATATCACTTCTTATGTTCAAGACGATTTAACTACAGAAATACCTTGTTGTCTCAATTTTGATAAAATTCAACAACACCATATAACTTCACAACATTCTCAACAACTACAACAACATCAATATGATTTTACAGAATTGGATGATTTATGTGGTGAGGATAAACAAAAACCAATTCTTGGAATACCTGTTACAACACCTGGATATTCTTATTACAACAAATTATTATTTAAAGAATGGTATCATAACCAAAAAAGGCATTCAAATAGACACAGAGAGAAATCAAAGACAAGAGAAATTGACTTAACAATAATTCCAAATCACATAACACTACCTTTGCTTTCTTCTTACACATATTCTACTTTTAAAAAGAAAGAAATACCTAAATTTTCACTTCCTACTAAAATATTGAAATGGTCAGTAAATTGGAGTGTTGATTCATTAGGTCATTGGGATGATGATATTATTGAGAATGACTCTTCTTATGATGAAGTTGAAGATACTTTTATTGATAATGGTATGAAATCTTGTGTCACTGAAGTAACAACTTGTCTCAGTCAGAGTCATTCACAATGGAATATTATTCAACCACCAAAACAATTTAATACAAATCCACTCCAATGTGTAGAACATCAAAAAACACTTGATTACCCAACACTAGAACAATGTGTTCAATCAGTGATTCTTAATTCTAACACAAAAACTATTTCATTTGAAACAATATACAACCAAACACTTCTTCAATTATCATCTAAATTACATCCAGAAGCTACTATTCATTATGTTTTTGTAGTGACATTGATATTAGCAAATAAGAAACAGTATCATCTCTTAAACCCATCAATAAATCAATTATCAGTGAAAATCATTGACTAATTCATTCATTTAGAATTTATGATAGAAGGGATTTAACATTATTTGTGCAATTTCAAAAAGGAATTGATATTTTAAAACGAAAAAAAACAGTTTAGTATTTTTAGACATCAATTACAAATAAAGATTTTGACTTTTTCATTTTTGAAAAGGACATTTTTGAGCTGTTGGCATGTTGTAGAAATGACTCGAAGTTCTTCTATAATTAAACAAGTCATTCAACAGTTAAAAAAAGTCCAGATTTATTTCAAGTTCATTTTGACAGGACATTCAATCTTGTTGTCAATCGTCATGTTTTTATTTCAAGAAAGCATTGAACTAACTTTATTGGTCAAGTCAAGCAAGGTATTGTTTATCTCAAAGACTATCTGTTCTCTGTAGTACTTCATTAGTCCGTCCATGAGAACCATCAAAATTGAAAACCCTAACCGAACCCTAGAAATTTTCTAAAAATAAGAAATAAGAATAATCCCGAAAGGACATAACCAAAGAATGTAAGAAATGAAGAAAATGAAGAGGAATGATTAAGTTAAATTCATTCACAAAGAAAAGGAATGAACAACAGAATTTTTTTGAAGAAGAAACCCTCCAGGAATATTTAAAGAGAATAAGAAACTAAAAAAGTTCAAAGAAGAAAATGGCAAAGAGATTTTTCTTTACATCGGAAAGTGTTTCTGGAGGACATCCAGATAAAATGTGTGATCAAATCTCCGATGCTATTCTTGATGCATGCCTTGCACAAGATCCAAAATCACATGTTGCATGTGAAACAGCAACAAAAACAGGACTTATTTTAGTTCTTGGAGAAATTACTACTAATGCAGTTATTGATATTCCAAAGATTGTAAGAGGAGTTGTTAAATCTATTGGATATGATGATACAAATAAAGGATTTGATTATCAAACATGTTCAGTTCTTTCATGTGTTGAACAACAAAGTCAAGATATTGCTAAAGGAGTTCATGTTGAAAAGAAAGAAGAAGATATTGGAGCAGGAGATCAAGGAATTATGTTTGGATATGCTACTGATGAAAGTAAAGAAATGATGCCATTAACACATGTTTTAAGTACAAAATTAATTTTAAGACTTCAAGAATGTAGAGAAAAAGGAATTTTACCATGGCTTAGACCCGATTCGAAATCACAAGTTACATTAGAATATGAAGAAGTTGAAGGACATTTAAAACCAATTAGAGTTCATACTATTGTTATTTCAACACAACATGCAGACAATGTAAGTAATGAAGAAATTGCAAAAGGATTAGAAGAAGAAGTTACACAAAAAGTTATTCCAAAAGAACTTATGGATGATAAAATGTTAAGATATTATAATCCAAGTGGAAGATTTGTTATTGGAGGACCAATGGGAGATGCAGGATTAACAGGAAGAAAGATTATTGTAGATACATATGGAGGATGGGGAGCACATGGAGGAGGAGCATTCTCAGGAAAAGATTCAAGCAAAGTTGATAGATCAGGAGCATATTGTGCAAGATGGATTGCTAAGAGTTTAGTTCATGCAGGACTTTGTCATAGAGTTCTTGTTCAATTAAGTTATGCTATTGGTGTTTCACATCCATTAAGTATTAATGTAAATACATATGGAACTGGAATTTGTGAGGAGATCAATATTGGTTGATATTGTTAATAAGAACTTTGATATGAGACCAGGAATGATTATTAAAGAATTAGGATTAACAAGACCAATTTTCCAAAAGACAGCAGTTGGAGGACATTTTGGAAGAAATGATCCAGATTTCAAATGGGAATTTCCAAAGGAATTAGAAATTCCAGCTGAACTTAAACCAAAATTGTTGAAGAATGAACCATAAATTGAATACTTTTTAATCCATATTTTTGATTATTTCAACAAATAAATTGAATTTTACTTTCTTAACCATTAATTTAAATTATTCTAAATCATCAAACAACTTTTATTTTATTGCTACATAATCTTTTTAATACTTCTTAATTGTGTTAAATTGGTTTAAATAAGGAAAAATTTTTCTATAATTCTTTTTGAACAATCAGTGTTTGTTTGTCAATTCTTTCATAACTAATAAGTCTCAAATCAATTCTTTGCTATTCCAATACAATACTAATTCATTGTAAAGAGAGATGCAAAGTGATGTTGTGAAAATACCATCTTAATAATTACAAAAAGAATAAAAAGAATAAAAGGAACTTAAAACTATAGTTTTACTATACTCAGTCAAAATAAATGGAACAGAGTCTAGAAGATAAGAAAAAAGGAAAATCAACTAAAGCAGGAGATGAAACAAGTCGTATTCGAATGAAGAAAACATTACACAAACATCTCACAGACCTTATGAATGCTATGGGAAAGAAGATGACATTAAATGAATTAGTGGAAATATTATGTGATGATTTTATTAAACATGGAGACACTAATAAACGATGGACATTAAATAAACCAACTCAATCATCAAATGTAAGTGCATTAGGAAAAGAATTTTATTTATCAGAACAATACTACAAATTACTGTTTGAAGGATTATATTAATTATTGATGTTTTTAATTGAATTAACATGGCATTTTCAACGATTTAATTTCTTCAACTCGTCTAATTGGTGTAATAGCGTTGGCACCATTTCGTCTCCAACTGGGACTTTTTCTTGAAGAAATTGGAGAGCTGAGGCATGGTCATGTGAAAATAATGAAAAGTATAATTGAGCTAAAATGTTAGATACTCCACGAGCAATTTCTGATCGTTGATTCTTTTCTGCTTCTCTCATGACAAATTCCAATAACTCATTAATACTTACTCTTGTCATTTCTTTTCTTAATATAAGTTGACCATAACAAAGGAGTGATTCACAATAACATAATAAAGCTTCGTCTATTCTTTCTTTACTGCTTAATTTATCTCCTTTGTGTTTAAGTGTTCTTGCATCTTCTGAAAGGTTACGTTCAGATAGTTTCTTTTTAGAGTCTTCTTCTTTTGTTTTTTGGCTATGACTATGTCTTCTAGATGATCGACTATTTGATCTTTTTGATCTACGTGGTGATTTGTTTTCACTATTTCGTTTATTATCACCTCTTCCTTCTGATGATTTTCTTTCAACTTCTCTTCCACGTGAATCTTTTTCTTTTACTTTACTTTCTGTTTTTTCATTTTCTTTTGTCTTTTGGGAATGATTTAACGAAATTGTCATTTTGAGAACAGGTTTCTTTTCAGTCGGTTTTAGCGTTTCATCTTTTCTGTGAAATTTTTGTTCAATTCTGTAGATCATATCTTTGTTTTTAGATGGTTTAATTGTTTTTGTTGTTGTATCATCAGTAAATTCAAATTCTAGAAACGTTTTCATCACGTTATAAATTTCTTCATCATACATGTTTTATTCTCAAACGATAGTTTAAAAAGATTTTTTCATTAGTTCTTCTAAAATTTTTGAATAACTAAAAATCATCTCAATTTGTGTTATTAATAAATCAAGAAAAAAGCCATAAAGTTAGATAAGTAAAGATAGTTGATAAAATGACTGACAAACCAACTAGTCTTATATTTCTTTCTTTTATAATTAATTTTATTAAAGTATAAATATTAGTGGTAGTAAAAGGTTTATTTTCATAATGACTACTATTCTGGATTTTTTGAAAAGATGTATTTTTTTGTTGTGTGATTGTTGTGTTTATTGTACTTTTGATAGAATCTGTTGTGTTCTTTGTAAACGTAGCATTCAACTCTTTTTTAATAATTTTTATACGTGTATTATTGAGACTTTCAGGATATATTATAATCTTCTTTATGTTTTTTGGTTGTTCTATCATAGGAGTCATACCAAAGAACAAAGTGATTGAAGAAAATAACATCAGACCTATTGCAACAATTTTGTTCATTAAAGAATAATGAGTTAAAGACTTCTATTAATTCAATAGATACTAATAAAAATAGAATAGACGCTGATTATTTTTTAAAAAGATTATTTATTTCTTATTAATATAAAATTTATTTTTAAATAACATAAATTAAAAAAAATGTTATATGAAAAGGGTTGTTTTACCCTTTTATTTTTTTAAGAAAAATGATAAAGTGTAATGAAAGGACAAAGAAAACATAGAGCTGTTGAAGGAAATGAAACACCAGCAAGCAAAAGCAGATTACCTCTTGAAAAGGAGATGGAAGAAGCACAAAAGACACATAAGTCAGTACGAGTCAAAAGTAAAAAAGTAGAAAAACAAGATGAGGCAGGTTTAAATGAACAAGAATCAAAAAAAATTGTTGAATCAGCAATGAAGCAATTAAAAGAAGAAAAGGATGCAATGGAAGAAGAGCAAGTAAATGAAAATCCACAAATTGAAGAATTAGAACAAGATGAAGGACAAATGATGGAAATGGAAGACCTTGAAAGTGATGATTTTGAAGATAGTGAAGATGATAAAGATAATGAAGAATATGATGTTAATATTGATGAAGAAACAAAGAACCTTCTTTCAGCGTTTTCTCAAGATGTTCAAGTAGTTGATGTTAATACAATGATTTCACAACAATATGAAGATATTAAGAAAGAAGAAAAGAAAGAAAAACAAAAAGAACAAAATAACCAAATAGAAGGAAAAGAAAAGAAAATCAAAGAAAAAGTCTATCCACAAAAAGTTAAAAAGATTTTTGAAGAGCTTGGAACTTTTTTGAGTCATTATCATGTTGGAAAATTACCAAGAGTCTTTAAATTACTTCCATCATTTGAAGAATGGATTCCATTATTACAAATGACTAATCCATCACAATGGACTCCACATAGTTTATTTGCAGCAACACGTTTATTCCTTCATACAACTAATTCAGAAACAGAACAATTCTTCAAAGTCTTTTTATATCCAATTATTAGACATTCAATTCATCAAAATAAAAAATTACATTTCCAAGAATATTTAGCACTTAAAAAAGCAATTTATCGACCACAAGCATTTTTTAAGGGATTGATCTTCCCTCTTTGCCAAGAGAAAGATGTCACTCTTAAGGAAGCCACAATCATTGCATCTATTTTACACAAAGTTTCTATTCCTTCAAAACATAGTGCAGTTGCACTTTATAAATTGTCAACAATGGAATATAACTCTACTCAAGCTCTATTTTTGAAAACACTATTAGATAAAAAATACTCTCTTCCATATGCTGCTCTTGATGCTGTTGCTAATTATTATATTGGGTTTATTGATAAAAAAGTTGATACACCATTATTATGGCATCAAGGGTTGTTAGTTTTTGTTCAAAGATATTCTAAAGACTTTAAACCACAACAAGTCCAACAATTATTACGATTATGTCAAGTTCATAGGCACCATGCAATTACCCCATTAGTTATTGTCCAGTTACAGAAACAAAAGGATTGATTTGAATTTACACTTTTTTGATTGATTCATAGTTGAAAATGGTTATTTGTTATAAAAAACAATACTTTGGTACGAAAGAGAGTATCTCATCTTCTTTTTTGATTTTTCTTCTTTTGAAAAACAAAGCACTTTACTTCTAATTAATAATGGTTTAACACAAAACTATCTTCTTGAAGATTTTAATTAAAACTCCATCCCTTTTATCAATACAATCTAGAGAATAAAATTTGTATTTTATAATTAGGTTAGAACAAAGAGGTTTTAAGTTAAATTTTATTTATAAAATATATTTTCAATTTATTTTACTCAAAAAATAAGAAATAAGTTTTTAATTTAGTTTAGTAAGTTTATTTTTTGGATAAGATTTAATCTTATTGAGTCAAAAGTCATCTCTAGATGAAAGGTCAATAGATATTTAAGAAGAGGATGTAGGAAAGTGATTGGTATGGAAAACTCAAAGGGTAAAATCTGGTTGAGAGTTCCTTCTAATGTTACAAATGATGTTATGTTTCGTTATTTTAATTGTATTGGTAATATTCTAAGTTTCAAAATTTGTTCTATTGATGACAAAAGTAAAGTAGTGAAGTTAGTTTATGAAAGTGAAGAAGACTGTGAAAAGTTGAGTCATTGTGCCCACAATGTCTGTCTTTTTGATGATGAGTTTAAAGTGACTGTATTGAAACGAGAAGGGAAGGTGTATGGAACAATGGGAACAGATGGGTTTGGATTAAAAAAAGTGGGTAAGAATACTCAATCAACAAGGTCAAAGTATGAAGACATCCACCTTGATTACCCATTAGGGTGGATGTAAGATTGGCTTTTAATTTTATTTTGTTTCTAAGAAGCTTTTTAGTTGGAAAATGTGTAGTTGTACTTGTTGTACAATTTGTTTAGTGAAACAAATTTACTTAACTTTTTAAAAAATAGACATTGTTAGAAATTTTATTTAGAAATAAGTTGAGGTTAATGAAAAAGAAGAATTTTTTTGGTATTGTGAAATGAGAATTTAGACACTAGTCAGTTAGATTAGATGACATTAAACTTTCATCTGAAATTGGTCATTGTATTAATGAAGGTGTTATAAATTATTATAAAAATAAATAAAGTTTAATCAAGGTATTATTTTACATAAGCAAAGAAAAGATAGACACTATGTTAAAGGTTAATTTAAAATATAATGTTGTTTGTTGTAAACAATAAATGTATAAATAATTTATTATTTTCAATAAGAAGATATTTGATTGAACAAAAAAAAGAAATTCAAAAAGGATAAAACAGTCATATCTTGTACAACAAATAGTGGAAATGAAAAACTATTATAAACAATTAGTTCAAATTGATTTTTAATGAATAATTCAAAAGAAGAAATGAACTTTTCTAGTAAAAATTTACAAATTTTTAAAAAAAAGTGTATAGCTATTTTCTAGTAAAAATTAAGTAAAAGAACTAAGAATTAAAACGTAAATTAAATGGGTGAACAACCACAACAAGCCAATAAACATAAAGACTTTCTCAAGGTATATTTTACGTCTGAACAATTAAAAAAAATACCAGTATACATTATATTTCCATTAATTGGGATTACTTACGTTTTAATAATGACATTAATTATCTTTCTTTTACCAAAAGTATATGGAGATTCAAGTCATTATATTTTTTGGTTGATTCTTGGAAATATTATGTACTTTTTAATTACATATAATTTTTATCAATGTCACTATGTCACACCTGAATGTATACCTCAACAATATTACCAAATTAATGAAACAGAAAAAGAAAAATATGAGTATTGTGATAATTGTAAAATGTATAAAGGAGATCGAGTTCATCATTGTAGCACTTCAAATAAATGTATTTATCGATATGATCATTATTGTGGATTTATTGGTAATAGTTTAGGATTTCATAATTATAGGTACTTCTTTCTTTTCCTTTTTTATTTATGGATTTCAATGTTAATTGTTGATTGTCATGTTTATTTCTTATTTACTCATGTTGATATAGTTTGTTATTCCTCTTCATTTCTTTTGTTATTTGCTAATTTTTTATTATGAGCTTTATAAATATTAAAAGAAACTAATCTAAATAGTCACAACTCCCATATTTCGTATTAGTGTTTATCTCATTATTCTTTGGAAATTTAACTTTTGCTTTGACAATGGAAATGGGATTTATTGCTATAACAATTACTTTTAATTATACTTCAAAAGAATTGGTAGAAACATTAGCAACACTTGTTAAAGAAAAACGTTGGACTCCAAACAAACATTATAAATCAATTTTATTAAACTGGAAAGAAGCCATGCAAGTTTCTCCTTCAGAACCTTTGTTTTTAGGTTTCTTACCAACTTCTCCTCGTTTTAAGGATAATAAGAAATTGTAATCCTCAAATTTGGTTTCTTAGTTTTGAAGTTTTTATTTTTTAATTTTACTATATAAAGATTTTAGTTAGTTTAATGTTCATTTAAAGGAGAACTGTTAATTATAACAGAATAAAATGAAAAGATGCAATCCTTTCACCTTTGGGTACTTTAATGAAAGACCAAACGTTGAGGAACAAGAAAGTTCAAAGGAAGCACCTACAGCATTACATATTGTTGTGTATAAAAATAGATTTGATTTTATTGATTATATTGTTCATTCATTAGAATTTGATGTAAATTGTATAGATGAAAAGGGAAATACCCCTTTGCATCTTGCTTGTGCCTTTGGATTTTTGGAGTCTGTTCAGAAATTAATAGAACTAGGTGCTGAGCCAATGGTATATAACAAAAAAGGAATTATTCCTCTCTTTAGTGCTTTAAGAAACAACCACCTCTCAGTTGTTAATTATTTAATTGAGCATTGTAGAAGAGAAATGTTAGCAGCAATAGATTTACGAGGATATTCTGTTCTTCATTACGCAGTATTTATTAATAGTTCAGAATTTTTAGATAAATTAAATAATTTCTGGTGTATTACTGATTTAGTAAATAATAGTTGTAATGATGGAATATCTACTCCTCTTCACATAGCCTCTAGATATGGTACAAATGAGTCACTTCAATGGTTATTGAAACATGACGCTAATACAAAAATTGAGAATGAGATGGGTGAAATTCCACTTATTATTGCAATAAAACATAAACAAATTAGCACAATTAACATTCTTCTTCCATTATCACCTCTCAATGTTCCTGATAATTATGGCCAATTACCTATTCATCATGCAGCGTCAATAGGAAACTTATCATTAATTAAAAAACTTATTGAATTGGATAATGATTCTTTAAATAAGAGTGATACCAATGGTAATTATCCATTCCATTGTGCTCTCAAATCAAATGATATCAATACCATTGATTACTTTTATCCTAATAAACATTACTTTTCTAAATCAAATTCGTATGGAATGACACCTTTAACATTAGCAATTGCATGTGGAAGTACAAAATTATTAAAATATTTACTTGCAAAAGGAGCTTCTCTACAAACTCAAACTCTTTCTGGAACAACCCCATTACTTTGTGCTGTAGCTCATGGAAAATTAGAAATAGCACAACAATTGTTTAACATTGATCCAAGTTTTATTAACGATAGGGATTATAATGGAAATACCGTTTTTCATTATGCTGTTCAAAACTCTAATTTTCGTGTTGTTAAATGGTTATACTCACTTGTAGGTCAATTATTTAATCAACCAAATTATGTTGGAGAAACACCTTTACATATTGCATGTTTGACTAAAAAGTTAAAAATGGTAGTTTTGTTAATAGAACATTGCCATCATCCACTCGTTTGTTTTACAACTACACAAAGAAGCCCTGTCCATTATGCTGTTTTAGGTGGTAATTATGACATAGTTAAATACTTACTTAAAAAAGCACCAACAATTACTTGCCAACCAGATAAGAATAAACTCAATTTCCTTCATTATTGCTGTAATAAAAGTTTCATTTATTTACTTCCATTAATTTTGAAAAAATTCCCATTGTTAATGAACTTTCAAGATGGATGTGGTAGAACACCGTTGCATATTGCTGTTATCAAAAATGACGCACTAGCAGTTTCAACTCTTGTTGAAAGTGGTTGTGATTGTATGATCAAAGATATACGAGGATTGACACCTGCTGAAAGTGCAATTAACAGAGGATATATACATTGTTATAATATCATTCAAAAAATTCCAAAAGAACGTTGGACAACAATTAAGAAGGTAGAAGTAACAAGACAGCCAAATAAATTTGATAATGGAAAAATACTTTCATTAGTTATAGGAATGCACATCAATGTTGTTTGGATTCATAGAAGTGGATGGGCAATTGGTATTGATGAAAGAGGAAATACAGGACTGTTTTCTTTAGACAATTGCAAAACTATTGAACTAAATCCTATTGAAAGACAACAAGTAGAAGCAATTTTAAAAAAGAAGAAATTTGTCAGAAAAGACTTTGAAAAGAAGAATAGAAGTCAATCCGTAGCAATTTCTGACAATATCCTTGAATTTGATGAAGTATTAACCCAAAGTAAATAATTTAAATAACTCTTGTTAACTGTTTTCGATTATATTTTCTCCTTTTCTTTGGAATTTTCTTTATTTTCGTCGTTTTAGTATTTTTAGAACTTAATTGAAGGAAAAAGTTGAATATTTAAACTTCAAATTACAAATATTCATTAATGACTAATCATACTCTGAAACAGAATTTAAGAGTCTTTGTGAAGGAAAGCTTTTCTTTTGTGATTTCCCTGAACTTGCTGTTGATGATGAAATTTTAAATAAAAAACTCATCAAATACAATAATGAATGGAATGCCCAAAAAAGAATGGAAATATTTAGCACTATCGTTGGTCATGTAGGAGAACATGTAAAAATGATAGGACCATTTTACTGTAATTTTGGGAGATACATCAGCATTGGTGATAATTGTATTATTAATTTTAATTGTACTATTCTTGAAGGAGGACCTGTTACTATTGGAAATAGAGTTCTTATTGGTCCAAATTGTAATTTAATTGGTATCTCTCATACTACTTGTGAAAAAATAAGAAATTATGGTGCTTGCACTGCTTTAGGAAAACCAATTGTCATTAAGGATGGTGCATGGCTTGGGGCTGGAGTTATTGTACTTCCAGGTGTAACTATCGGAGAGAATGCAGTAATTGGTGCAGGGAGTGTTGTTACTCATGATATTCCAGACAAGATGGTTGCGGTTGGAAGTCCAGCAAGACCAATAAGAAGAGTATCTGAATATCCAGACTGGACACCAGACCAAAGAGATATACCACTTAATTAAGAAATGATTTTTATAAAACAAGATGAATTATTCAGTTTTATCATCACTTACAGTTTCAGAAGAATTTTCATGAGGTATTAAGTCAGCTTGTTCTAGTTTAATATTTTTGTCATCAGAACACTCTTTTGCTTTAAAAATATCCTCAAATAAAGAAGACAATTCATTTAAATTTTCTTCATTAATATATTCTTCTATCATCATCCCTTTTTTATATAAATGAATACACTTATAATTTTGAAGTGTTACTTTTGCAGTTTTTGTTTTTGTTAATTGAATTGTCCACCCCTTTTTTAATAAAAGATATAACAATGCATTAAAATGTAATACAAATCCATTTCTTGACTTTCTTTTCTTTTCACTAACACTTCCCTTTGGTGCTTTGTCTTTATTCTTTTCCTCAACAACACTTTCTTTTTCTTCTTTTGTCTTTCCTTTTGACTCCATCTAACTAAATTATTTTTTTAAGTTCTTCCTATGTTTTTCATTTTTTCTCTAAAAAAAAATAAATGACAAATAAAAAGTAAACTTCTTAGCAACACCCATCTTTCTTTTCTTGTTCAACTTGTTCTTGTGTTTTATTAGTACTTTGTTTTTGTAGTTTGATTGTTGGTTCATTTGTAGTTGTTTGAACTTCTGTTTGGAAATTACGAGATTGTAAAATACTTTGAACCAACCCCCTAAATGCAGCTTCAACCTTAACATTCAATTTAGCAGATGTTTCAAAAAATTCATATCCTCGTTCATTGGCATATTGTTTCCCTTCTTCATATGAAACTTCTCTAGATTCCATTTCCAAATCAATCTTATTACCAACAATCATGACTTTAACACCTTGAGGACAATATGAACAAACATCAGTAATCCAATCTTGTACAATTTCAAAACTATCTCGACTAAACAAAAAGTAAGTTTTTTAATTTTTTTTCTTATTTTTGTTTTAAAAATTTTGCACTTCTTAATACTAATGAAAATAACAAACCTAGTAATATCATAAACAATTAATGCACCTTGAGTTTCTCTATAAAATTGTGCAACAAGAGATCTATATTGCTCTTGACCACACTACTAAATAAATACCATATCATTTTATTTTTCACAAACTTACTTATATGATATAATAATACACAAAAATAATTAATATAACAAACAGTATCTTTTAATGTCAAATCAACAACACATTGGTCAAGATCCATTTTATATCTGAACAAATCTGTTCCAGATGTAGATTCTGTTGACTCATCAAAACATTTCTTTTATGTAAGTATGTCTTTCTTTTCATTTACTAAAACTAATCAATCACAAACATTGACAAGTTGATTAGCCAAACAAGTTTTCCCAACTCCAGAACCTCCTACTAAAATAATCTACATATCAATGTTTTTTTCTTAAACATTTAGTGACTTAATTATTTCTCTCAAACCGTTAATGGAATGACGGATTTACTCATCTTTTTGTTATCTTTAATAATTAAAGTTCTTCTTAAAAAGGGTTAATTAAACAGAAAAAATTTTTCTTATTCTTTTTTATTCGTAATCTATTTATGGAAATTATGTTATATAAAACTATATAAATAATCATTTAAACTTCATCAAAACCAAAAATATATTATTAATGGTTGATTTAAAAAAGAAGTGACTTACACATAAATTTTAGAATGAGATTTATTAAACTATTAAATTTAATATTTTATCATACAAAAACTAATAATATCCATTTCATTCACTTTTCTCAAAGTAATGAAGTACTAAATCATGTAACTCTAAAAATAACATTTTTTTTGGTGTTTTACACAACTTCAGATAATCAAAAAATTGAAACTAAAGACTTTAAAAAGGACAAAAAAAAACAATCTTTTCTTGACTTTTCTTTTTTGTTTTAAAAATTTTGTTTCTTATTTGAGGTTTATTTTATTATTTTCTTTTTTAGAGTAATTCAGTTTTATATTAAAGAATTTTTTCTTTTACTAATAAATTATTACATTCATAGATAAATTAATGACAAATTAAAATGTGAAGTTATTGAGTTTGGGTGATGAGTTATTGTTGATAAGTAAGTTTTTTTTTTTAAACTTCCACTTCTTAAAAACAACTGAATGTATAATAAATTGTTCAATATTTTTGAAGTTGAACTTAAAATAAATATTAAGATTTAAATAAGATTAAATAAATGAAAAGTGAAATGAGTGAAAAAGAGATTAATTACTTCTTAATCATCATCGTGTCTTCCTCTAAGTTGAGTATTAATTTGTTTAGTCATCAAAGTTCTCTTATTTTGTTCTGAAACTCCAATTTGGCATCTGCAATTATTAGTAATTTCTTTACTCTTGCTGAAATAAATAGCATCAAGAATTTGTCTCATTCTGCTTTCTGTTTCTTCAACAAATGTACCGATGTTAATAATATGAGAATCTTTCTGAGTAGTAGATAATACCTTTTCGTTTTGTCTAGTAAGAGATCCTGCAAATGCAACTTTACCTGTTGCTTCACAGTCAGTTTCCATATAAAGAATTACTGTTGATGTAAGTCTATATTCTGCTTTTGATGTTCCTTTTGGAATAACTTCAATGACATTAATTGAATCCCATGTTCCTTTCATTGGATTTCCTTTCTTACTTTGATCAGCTGTTTTCTTCATTAAAACACAAACAGCAAATCCGTCATCAATATCCCAACAGTATACACTATGAACTCCTCCTTCATAATACATTTCTCTATACATATCAAATGCATCATTTAAACTAATTTCTAATTGTCTTAATTCATCACTTGGAAGTCCTCCTTCTGGGAATGCTGGGAAATATTTATTAGAAAATGGTGACCTATATGAATCTCCATCTCTACAATAATCACATATCAAAAATGACTTCTTGGCAGTTGTGTCTTCAACAATTTTTAATGGTTGGTCAGTTGCTGACAAAAGATCATCAGTTAAATCTGGGCAAAGATCTATTAACATTTGAAGATTATCTTCAACCTTTTGTGGTGGAAGTCTTCTCATAAGATCTAAAGCATAATCAAGTGGGTCTGTTTGTGACATGTCTTGTATTTTTTCAGTTCTTTTTTTAAGTTTCTTCTGTCTTTCTCCAACTTTATTAGTTCCTTTCTATTTTTATTTTTTATTTCTTTATTTTATGATTATCATTCTTGTTAATAACAAAAATTTTTTTATCATTTTTGATATATTTATCAAAATTTATTTCTTTCTAATGTAGTTTTGAGTGAAAATTTTCTTTCTTGAAAAACTGTTGTATAGGATGATTTATCTTATATTATATTTTAGAGATTCACAGTGTAATATAAAGCTTATTTTTCTTTGTATATTTAAAGACCTTTAAAGAATCTAAAAGGAACTTCAAAAAAATTGGTAGATTTTTCAGGAATAAGGAAAAATATGAAAAGTCAAGAGAATAAAATAGTAAGAAAATGAACTATTAAGAATGAGACTTAAAAGAAATAAAAAAGACTTTGAAAAGAAAAATAAGAGAAAATTCATGGAAATGAAAAAGATCGTTGGAAATGTCCAAACCCTTCAATTATTTAAACTCAACTCAAGAATTAAAAAACACAATCAAAGAAGAAGTGGTAATGTCAGTCTTTAAACCAGTTGAAACGTCATTGTATGAAGTAACAATTTATAATGAGCCAACTGTTATACATTCTACTCCAAGTCCGATGATAGAAATGTCAGAAAGTCGAGTTATAAAAACACCAAAAATTGTTAAAGCAATTATGCCAAAGAAAGGAAAGGGAAAAAGATTTTGGAGTCCTGAAGAAAAGGCTTTTGCAATTGAGAAAGCAAAACTAATTGGATTGTCTAAAGCAGCACGAGTTCTTCAAAATGATTATTGTAATGTTTATGGTGATTTATCACCAAGTACTTTACAATATTGGGTTTCAAGAAATAAAGAAAGTGTTTCTCATTAAAAGTAAAGCAGTTAATTCAATGTTAATAGAATTATTTCTATTCTTCCTTCTTCATTTGTGACTAAATAAGTTTATACTTCTTCTAGTAATTCTACAGAGTATGTGTGGTTGTGATTGAATCAGTATTCCATGACATCAATCATGTTTTTTATGACAAGGTTTTTAGTTTCTTTAATGATGTTAATGTCAATTTTTAATTCTTTAATTAATTTATTACTTTCTTTATTTATTAATCCATTTATTGAAATTACTACTGGATTTATTTTGACATCTTTTAATTTTTCTATTTTCATTAACCTATTCTTTAATTCATTGTACTTATTTCTTTTCTTCCAATATTCTCAATTAATATTGTGATCAGCCACAATCGTCATATCAAATATTAGACCAGTTTTATTCTTTTTATCTAATACATATATGTCTGGTATTTTGTGATATTGTCATTCACTTTTATGCATTATTTGTTTGTTCAATATCATTGTGATGTCTTTATATTTGAACATTGTTTCATATGGGGTTTTTATATTGATTATTTCCTGTATATTTTCTTATCAATCAATATTATTATGCCAATATTGTCATGTTTTTCTATTTGTGATTTATTATGATAAATACAAGATAGTAGAATGTGCTCTACTGTTGCTATCTTGTCTTTACAAAGTGTTGAGTATTTCAATCTTTCATTTTTCATTATTTTTGTTTTTCTATACCCACAAAATATTGCTCCATCTTGCATTTTAGTTAATTTGAGAAATGCATTTTTTTAATATTGAATGACTTCCATGCTTTCACTGTAGTAGTTTTATCTACTCCTTTTGACTCATTTTAAATCGAACCGTTTTTTGATGTATTTATCATTAATATTTTATTTCTGCTACACTACTTCTAAAGAATATAATTAATTAAACGTAATAAAAATAAAATTACATAATTTAAAATAAATACTCAATTAAATATTGATACCTAAAACATAATCCCTTAATTTTTGCTTTATTTCGGATGATAAAAATGAGAATTGAATTCCATTTAAACATAATTGTTTCATAAATTCTTTTCCTTCTTGTTCATTATTATGACAATACGCTTGAATAGCATGTCTCATTTCATTAACCATACTTGTCCTAAATAATCCTCTATCATCACAACTAATAAATACCTTTCCTTTGAATAATGCTTTATTCATCATTGGATGTTTGTCATATCCCTTTATGCTTCTTGACACCATATTACTTGTTAAACACACTTCACATCCAATATTATTTTCATGCATTAATTCAATTGCTTTTTTATTTAAAAATATTCCATGTCCAACACGTGATGGATAACATTCTATTAATTTAACACATTCTTCATCATCAACCTTTTCTCCAATATGCATTGTGACTGGTAATTCTAATTCTTTTGCATGTTCCATCAATGGTATAATTTCTTTCCATGTTCCTTTGAATGGATTTCCACTTAATTCAATACCTCTAACAAATGGAGTTTTCTTTTGATATTCAGATGCTAATTCTATAGTTTCATATGCATCATTTAGTCTAGACCTATTTATAGAAAGAATTAAATAAGGATAGAATGGTGTTGTTTTAGTTCTTTGTTTTATATAATCTTCAAAAGCATTAACCACAGTATCAATATAATCTCTTTGACTATGACCTTCTAGTTTTCTTGGTGTTGTTCTTATCTCTGCAATAATAGTATTATCGTTATCATAATCTTCAAGGACTTGCATTGCTAAAATTTTAATTCTTTCTAATGAATTTGTAGCTTCATAAATTAAATCAAATGCTTTAAAACAATTAGATAATGCTTCTTCACAAGATGTTTTTGGAGATAAAATCGAGTCAATTAATTCAGTAATGTGAGTATTTTTGTGCCACAATTTAAGGGTGTCTTCTCTAATAGATCCATTCAAATGAGAATGTAATTCCACTTTAGGGAATTGTTGAATGAAAAGGTTCATAATGAATAAAAAAGAAAAAGATAGTAGGGTTAATTGAATGTATAGAAGTTTCTTTTTATCTTTAAAAAGAAAATTTCCTTTAAAAATAATGAGTTAAAAAGTTCGTAAAATGAAATGTCTCTTTTGAAATATTTTGTCTCTTCTACAATCACCGAAAACTAAAAATTGATAATTATTTAGTTAAAAATGAAATGGTATAATTCTCTTGTATTATCTATTATTTGCCCACCTGCTGCTGTTTATTGTAGATGTGGTGTTTGTGCAGATTTTATTGCGAATATTTGTCTTACATTATTATGTTATTTTCCAGGTTTATTTCATGCTGTTATAACTGTATTTTAATTGAATAATTTTATTAGACAATAAAGTAACAAAAAAGAATTAGATTATTTCATGAGTTGAGTAGTTTCATTTTGATCAGTAGCCTTACTATTTTGGTCTGGTGTTTTAATAACAAATATGAATAATAAACTTGATATTCCAGAAAGAAGAAAAGCAGGACAAACAATAAACATATAATAATTAGTGTGGTATTGATTAAGAGACTCTGAAGAATCTTTAGAGTCTTTATTTATTGAAATATTAATAATTATTGAAATAAGTTGTGATAATAATTGAGAAAGAGTTAAAGAATTATTAACTAATCCTACAAAAAATCCAAAGTCATCAGTTTTTACTACTTTTCTTGTTAGAGCATATGGTAAAGAAGTTAATTGACAATAACATAATCCAGAAGAGATAAGAGGTAAAAATGAAACAAAACATTGTAATACATCATTCTTAAATGATGAACGTGGGATATAATAAATAATAGCACATAACCCAGTTATAATATTAAAAGAAAACATTGTAAGAATAGGTTTTTTATTAATAATAAACAGAATTAATCCAGTTATTACAACAGTAATTCCAAAAATGAGTCTATTGAAATTAAAATAAAGAAATGATAAGTCTTGTTTATCTTCAAAAACATAATAGATGAAATATAACTGTGTATTCTCTTTAATTGGTGTCCATGCAAACCAACCAACAAATACTACAATAAGAATTAAACACATATTTTTATTAATTTGTTTTATTGAAGTCCAGATATTTTGAATATGTTCTTTAAATAAAATATTACCTGATGGATATGGTGATTCATTAACAAAATGACAAAATAAATAAACTGTTATTGGCATAACAAATAATGATATCACATTTAACCAAAAGGTTGTTATTAAACGTGCATTTGTTAAAAACATTTTGTCATGATTTGGTTGTGTTAAATAGATTAAACAAATAATTGAAGTTATTCCATAATAAATAACATTTCCTAACCCTAACATTACAGAACCAATTAGTGTTACTCGTGTTTGGTCAATCCAATCAAATTGATCTAATATAAATGAACGATATGAAACTTGAATTAAATTGATTCCAATTGCAACAATAATTTGAAAAATAACAAATAAACCGTCACAAAGACTTAACCCATTTAATTCATTAAAACTTATTGTTTTAAGAGTTACAGGAAGTAATGGATAAATAGAACAAATTAAAGTACCAAAACTTCCAACAAACCAAATACCAAGTCCTAAAATCATTATTGGTCTTCTTCTTCCATAACCAAATGTAGCATGATCACTAAGAGCGCCTATAATTGGTTGTAAGAAAAACCCAATAATTGGACCTATAGTCATTTTAATAACAGAATGTGCAAGAGAATCATATTGAATTGATTCATTTGTTAAAGAAGAATAATTATTAATGAAAAATAAATTAATAATTGGAATATTATCTATATAAGTTAATATTGAATTATTTAATTTAAATTACATTATTCAAACAAGAGAATTCTATTGAAAATTGTACACTGTTAACAAGAAAAAAATATATGATAAGTTTTAATGATAATGGTGTAACTTTCATTATTAATTTCAAATTAATTATTAACCCAAGAATTTTCTAATTTTTTATTCATTTTTATTCATAATTAATTTTCAAAAAGTATTAAATTGATTATTAATTTTCTACTTTTATTGGCTTAATTTGGGAATTTGGTAAACCAACCCATCTTCCTTCTGGATGAGCTTCCATTTTATCTACAGCTATTTTAATTTTAGCTGATGTAGCTGGTGTATTCAATCCAGGACACCCTGGTCCATAAGCACATCCTCCTTCACAAACCATAACTTCGACAAGATTACCAGTAATATTCTTTTTGAAATTCTTTAGTCTTTTAAAGTTTTCTTGAGAAAATCCATCAATAATTGTTGGTTTAATTACTCCATCTGGTACTTCTTTTGGAAGTAAAGATGCAACAGCAGATGCAACACCTCCACTTACAGCAAAGATTTTTCCTTCTTTATGTGCCTTATCGACAAAAGTATATGGTTGTACTTTACTTAAATCGATTCCACTTCCTTCAAATAAACCAAATATTTCATCAAATGTTAGACAATAATCAGTAGTAGAATCTTGTAAAGTTTCCCACCGTTTAGCATTACATGGACCAATAAAAACTGTAACAGTTTCTTGGTCTCTATCTTTGACTGCTTGAGTAGCAAAATGCATTGGAGTAGGAGTATGAGAAACATTTTCTTTTAACTCTGGCATGTGTTTATTAATGGCATTAATATATGCAGGACAACAAGAAGTTGTCATAAAGTCTTTTTTATTTTTAACAATACGTTCTTCAAATTCTTTTGCTTCATTTAATGCACATAAATCAGCACCATAACTAACATCTTCTACAGAAGTAAATCCAACTTGAATTAATCCACCTGACACTAAAGCTAAATCATATTTACCAAAATGAGCTGCGATAGATGGTGCTGGACATGCAACAACTTTCTTAGTTGGAAGTATTTTTAAAACATCAATAAGATTACTACGTGGAAGAATTGCTCCAAATGGACAAGCCCTCATACAACCTCCACAATTAATACATTTTTCAAAGTCAATTGTTTTAACTCCTTCTGGAGAATCTAACATTGCTCCACAAGGACATGCTTTTACACAAGGTACTGATTTAGATATGATTGCACCATATGGACAGAATTTGTAACATCTTCCACATTTAATACAATTATTTTGATTAATTACTGCTCTTCCATCTTCTCCAAATGAAATACATTTTTTTGGACAATTAACAGAACATGGACGAGATGTACAACCTTCACAAGCTTGTGTAACAAAATAACCATTAAAATGACATTTGTTACATCCTTTTTGTGAAATACCAAAAACTGGCTCATGTAATGAAGTTCTCTCTAATGCCTTTTGTGCATAAACATGGAGTGGTGTTATATCATCATACTCTCCATCAACAAATCCAAGGACAGATAAAACTTTTTCTCTATAGATACCTTCTTCTTGTTCTCTTGAATGAACAAATTTAGATGTTGGTTTCCATCCATCTCCATCAGTAAGAATAGTAGGTAATTTATCAATGTCTTCAATAAATCTACCACTCTTAAAACATTTTACAACTTCTGAAATAATTTTATTTCTAAGAGGAGTAAGTTGAGTACTCATAATGGAAGAGTACGTTTCTGACGAGATTTAAATACCAGAAATGAAAACAAATTACACTTTCGGAGATACTTCCTTATTATTCCATATGAAAAGGAGTTGAATTAATATCTGAATTTGATAAGTGAAAAGAAGAACTTTATTTTTCTATTTTTGTTAAATGATAATTAAATAATAAAATTATTATAAAAACATTATTTTTAATGAAGCTAAATTACGCTTAGGCTGAAACAAGATGTTTGGATTTCCAAACGTCTAATAAGTCTGAAGAAGCATCTGGGTTAGATAGATTACTAACATTTAAATAATGGCGCATTACAATAGCATCTTCTCCATCATTATAATATTTTTTATCAACTGAATGTTGTTTATAACCCATTGTTACTTCATACAAATGACGAGCAGGCTTATTACTTTCACGTACATGAAGAGTAACATATTCTGCACCAAAACATTCAATCATAGAATTTTCTGCAGCTCTTAGTAATTTTGTTGCTATTCCTAATCTTCTGTATGACCTTAATACACTAATTGAAGTGATATGACCAAAAGGAGTTGTTGAGTCTTCGTCCCTATAAATAAGTGGGTTATAAAAACAATTTCTTTATAAGTGAAATAAAAATGACAAACATCTTTGTTAAAACATAACCTACTACTTTCCCATCAACACATTCTGCTAAATATGTAATAGAAGGCCAAAGAAGAAGATGATAATAATAATATTTCATTGTATAATTTTCTGCTAAATTAATCAAATTAGCTCCTTGAAGTTTAGGAAGGTCTTCTGGCTAAAAGAAAATAAATATTTCTATTATACTCTTCATTAACAATACTATTAAAAGAAATCAAACTGTTGCACGTCTAATATTAATCATCAGGGTTTTATTTTTTTAGTTTTTTTTATTTTTGTTTTTTCTTTATTTTCGTTATATATAACACTTATATGTTTGATACTTCATAAAAACAAAATCTATTTATTTAATTCGGTAAAAAGATGAGTCGGTTCCCTCAAAATAATAATCCTCCGTTTAATCCTAATGGAAAAATACAAAATATAAATTTTATTCCTGTTACAAATGGACAAAGAGTTCCACATATAGTTACTGGAGTACCTCAAGGTAGTTCTGTTAGTTATCCATCAAATTTTCCAATGGTTGTAAGTACTGGAATAGCACCAATGGCTACCCCAAATCTTGGTCAAGGTCATATACCAACTACCTCACAATTAAGAACTGTAAATATTCAACCCATATCTTTAGGTAATAATTTTGCTATTCCAATCCAAGCAAATTTGCACGTCCCAACAAATGTTAAACGTGCCCAACAAATAGGGGCATTACATCTTTCACAAATAAATCAGCAAGCTCAGGTTATTCAACAAATGAATGCAAGACCACAATTTACTGTAGCTCAAGGTTTAGATATAACAAGACAAAATATAGTTTCTCAACAACAAAATATTGGATTACGTGGTCATGGTGGAATTGCAATACGTCCAGTACCACAGCCTATGTCTCGTGGACAAGTAATGCAAGCACGTGGAATGACACCTTCAATAGTTGGTAATCCTCAATTTGGTATGGCACGAACTCCAATAATGAGGACAAATTATGCAAGGCCAATTCCAACAGGAATACGTTTATCACAACAAGCATCTGTAAGAGCAATGGGAGTTCAACAACCAACAATAAAAATTGAACAACCTCAAATGTTTGGAAAAATAATTAGCAAACAACAACAGCCAATAGAAAGTCGTGCACCTCCAATTATTAATGAAGAAAAAAAACCTCAAATTCCTTCATCTGTACAAAATAAATTTATTCATCAAAAAATTATAAAACAAGGTCCAATTGAAGACCTTCCTCCTTCTCCTTTACCTACACAATCTCCTTCTATTATTCCTCAACACATACAACAACCAATTACTGCTAAACCATCATTAATGGAAACAACACCAAGTCCTCATATTCGTGTAGTTGAACCAATAAAACAAATTAATGTAAACATACCAACTGTAAATCAGGTTGCTCCTACTCCACGACCTATGAGTACTACTCAACACTCTGTTGTTTCCACACCAATACCAGTACCTGGAATTGATTTACGTCTTGAGAATTTTCAACAAAATTTTATTAAAGAAGTTCAATCTAAAACAACCAATTCTGTTTCTATTGTACCAAGAAAGAAATCAGAAAATCATTCAGAAGAACTAAATCAACAAAAAAGAGAAATCTTTAAAGAAGAAGTAGAAAAATCAATAGATACAACATCTATTCCAACTATTCCAAATTCATATCCAAAATTTGATGAATTTTTTACACAACTTCATTTATATTGTTTAAAAAATCCATTTTTCTATTATGAAATAGACAATGAATATTTATATGTAAAGACTAGATTAAATGATGAAATAGAAAATTTACAATATGGATTTGAATTTTTTATTAATGAAGCTAGTCATCAAACATTTCCAACAACTAAGAAATTAAATGGAGAACCTATTGATTTAATGGATTATGGAAAAGATGGAAATCTTCCACAAACAGTAAATGAATTAATGAATGGATTATTTAAAGTAATGAGAGAAGAATTAATGAGTTAAATTAAAAGAGAAAAGAAAGTATAACAAACAATCTTTATTTATTATTATATTAAATTATTTCAAGTTATGTTTTTCTTTTTAACGTCAAAAAAAAAAAATTGAAGCAAAACAAAATAATTAAACTAAATAAAATACAGAATAGAATTATAAAGTTCATGAATAAATGTAGATTAGAAAATGTTTTCCTTAGAAATGTATTATTTTATTTTCCAAATTTATATGAAATAATGAAATTTGAAAGTGTGTCAAAGTCATGTCAAATAGCGATTGTTTCAGTATATATTCATCCATATCAATTAACCAAGAAATATCCATTTCAAGTAATTATTAAAATATTTCCAAAATTACAAACCATTTATTTTAATCAACCATTTGTCGTACCAAAAAGAGTTGAATTAAAAAAAATTGATAATTTTGAAATTGAAAATTGGAATGAACATTTAGGATTTGGTATATTTTCAAAAAAATGGTTTGGAAATAAAGTACGATCTATTCACGTTAATAAAATGATTGCAAATATTATTTCATTATCAAATATTAATTATACTAAATTACAAAAAGTTATTGTTGATAGTTCAGTTACTGTTGAATTAATTCATTCAATTATTAATATTGAATCAGTTCAACAAATGATTTGTTATTTAGATAATGAAAGTTCATTTGAATTATTATGTGGTATTATTCAAACAAATAATGAAGAAAGAAAAAAAATATGTCATTCAATATTATCAGTTTCTATTGTATTTCATTCAATATGTAATGAAAAAATTATAGGATGTTTATTACATAAAAAACCTACAAATATTTCTATTGTATTATTTGGTAAAAATATATGGAATGATGTATCACAACATATTATTTGTTTTCCTTCACAAAGTATATGTCGTTATAGAATCAGCCCAACACCAGTTGAAATTTATGATGCTGTTCAATTTAAATTAATTGATCCAGTTATTAATCATATTATTACTGAAAATATTTCACGTGCAGAAATATTATTTAGTAATAAAATAAGACAGAGAAAAAATGATTTCTCTAATTTAATTAATTTAAAAACATTACTTATTGATTTAGCATCATCTGATATTATACTTCCAAAATCTTTAATTCAACTCTCATTAATAAGATGTAAATGTTTTATTCAATTTAATTCATCTCAATTAACTCGATTTATTTTAGATACTTGTGAATGTAAAGGAACTCTTGATATATCGTGTATAACAGCTTTAAAAGTTCTTAATGATAAAAGTCATTTTAATTTTATTAAAAATAATATAAATTATAAACGAGAATTACCTATTGATCTCTCAACTATTATCACTCTTCATCTTCCTGATAGATGGTTTATATCAAGAAAAGTAGTGTTACAAATTAATAATATTTCTATTTGTTATCCAACATTTGTTATAATACAAATAGAAAAAGGAGAAATGAGTTTTCGAGGAATTGGAAGAGAACCAATATCAATTCATATGGAAAAATTTAATTTTTATAACTTCAATTTAAAAGAAACAATAAATATTAAAGAATTTATTGTTGGTGATATTACAGGAACGTTAATTATTAATAGAGAAAATACTAACTGTAATTTTATATGCAAATATGTTCATTATTATGAGGGAGAACATCATTTAAAGTCTTTTAATTATGAAAAAACTGATGAAAGAAATGTAATTTAATAATTTTATAAAATTTAAAAAAATTTAAAAAATATAAAGAAAAAAAAAATATTTCATAATAATTTCAATTAAAAAAAAAACCCTCTTTTTTTTAAACTCAAAAAGAAAAAGAACTTTATTTGAAATGAGTGCACCTGATATTGATAATCCAAAATTACATTGTAGAATGTTAGAACAAAAATTTCCTAATGAAGATGACCTTTGTTTAGTTACTGTAGTATCTTCAAGTGAAATGGGAACATATGTTGCATTAAAGGAATATGATGATATTCAAGGTATGATTCCTATGTCAGAATTATCAAGAAAAAGATATAAACAAACTCGTTTAACACGTGTTGGAAAAGAAGAAGTTGCTACAGTTATTCGTGTAAATTCAGAAAGTGGATTTATTGATCTTTCATTAAAACGAACAACTCCAGAAGAAAAATCAGCATTTCTTACAAAATATACAAAGAATAAAGAAGCACATTTAATTATGAGATTAATTGCAAAAAAAGCTGATGTTTCAATGGAAGAATTATATACTATGTTTGGATGGCCATTAGCTAAAAAATATGGTACTCTTCATGATGCTTTTAGAAAGAGTTTAACTGAACCTGATGTTTTTGAACCATATGGAATTCCAGCTAATATATTAGATGCATTACGTCAAACTATTTCGCATTATATGACTATTCAACCATTAAAATTCCGTGCAGATATTGAAGTAAGTTGTTTTGCAATTGGAGGAGTTGAATCAGTTAAAAGAGCATTATTAAAAGGTGTAGAATCAGCAGGTGATTCAGGATTAGTTATTAAATTAGTTTCATCTCCATTGTATGTATTATTCCTTACTCTTCCAGAAAGACAAAAAGGAATGGAAATAATGTATGCTGCAGTTGCTGCTATTAAAGCACAAATTGAATCTGAAGGAGGATCTTGTGTAGTAAAAAGAGATCCATGTGTTGTTTCTAAAGAAGAAGAAATTGAAGAAAATGAAGATACAACTGAAGATGCTAATTCTCAAGATGCAGAAGATGAATAAATTTTTTTAATTGAAACAAATTTTAATTTTATAAATCTTTTTGGATTATTTTAAATTAGAAATAATAAATGAATTTGAAATGATGTATTACAATGAATTAAAATCAAGATTGGATATATACCATTTCTTATAATGTGTTCCTATAAAAACTAAACTATGAATTACTCCAGGTAACCAGAAGAAGAAAGTTAAAATAATATTTATATAAACTGGTAATGAACATTTATTCATAAGTACTATTGGTACAGGTGGACATATAAATGATAGAAAAATTAAACACCAACATTTTAAATGACAATACATCAAATAAAAAATTTTTGAAATTATTAGTTTTTATAAAAGGGTTTAAATTCTTTCGTATTTAAAAGTAATATTGCTTTTCTTTTTAACTCCAACTATTCAAAGGTCTTTAATGAATAATCCTATTTATTTTTTTTTAGGTTCTTTTAACTTTATAAAAGAAGATAAATTCAAGAAATCAAGAATATTTAAATGTAATTAGTTTATTAACTGATTTATTATTATTTATTCTTTTTTTTTGTGTGTGTTTTTAATGTAATAAAATATTGTATTAGAAAATTTGAATGTTAGAATCACAAATAATAATTAAACTAAATTAGATTAGAAATCAAAATGAGTAATTGCATATGTTCTAAAATGATTACAAATATAGTACTCTGCATAAATAATACCTGGTACCCAAAATAATAAACAAAGAACTAAACTAATCCAAAACTCTTTTTTAAATTTTCTCATTATTAATATTGGAAGAGGTGGAAGTATTATTGCAATTAGTCCAAAGAGAAAACATTTTCCACTAGTATACATCTCTTTATTTGAAATGAATAGATTTCAATTTTAAAGATTTTTTAAGTTTAATTTGAAAAAAGACTTCTGTTGCTTTGAGTTGTAAAGAGAATTTTAAACAGAATTTTCTAATTAAATTTCAGTATTTCCTTTTTGTTGTTAAAAACATTTTATGAATTTTTTTAAATAAAAAATAAAAAATTGTTTGAAATAACATAATAATAATTAATGAATAACAAAAAAATTAAATAATAAAAAATAAATAAAACAAAAAAAAACAGATTAAAGTATGAAGAGAAGAGTAATCACATTAATTCTCATATTCTCAACTATCCTCGCTATGGTTCCATTTATTCTTTGGCTAATTGGAAATGACAGATATTCTTTTACTATAGAAAAAATGAATAATCCTTCAAATATAAAACCTATTTTTTATCTTAAACCTTCATCATTTTGTGATAAGTTAAAGTTAAAATCAACAGAAATAATTGTTTATTGTTCTGGACTCGTATCAACTGACATTCCTGGTCAATATAATATTGAGGTAGAAGAAAACATACCTGAATCAAAACTATATATTTCTAATGAAAGAACATTAAAATATACTTCCAATAACGTAAATACATTGTCAGAGTTATTACTTGAACTTTTCCCACAATTTCCTCCAAAAGTATTACATTCAAGAGAAATATCAGATTGGTGTTTTACATTATCAAGTGAAGATAGTATTTCTCAAACAAATATTTTAAAAGTTATTAATAAACTTCAATCTTATTTCCCTCTTCATTACCGTTTCACTTCTATTACCGAAAAACAACACTCAACAGAGTTAAATTATGCTGACATGAATTGTTTATATCGATTTAATTTATTACTTTCATCAAATATCACTCACTTACATTTCGAAAATTACAAAGCAACTGGTCCATTAAGTCAAGTAGAAAAGTCAGTTGTTGGTTACTTCAGACATATATTAGAAATTCCTACAATTAAAAATCCATTAATCATCACTGACTATTCTCATTCAAATGGATTCCTTTCATTAGAGTTGGATAATGTTATGAGGCAGTTAACAATAGAACAATTGTATACAACGATTTCTCTTATTCATTCTTTTGAAGAAATTACTAAAGAAGAGATTTTTGTTCCTCTTCCTAAATCATTAGCAGATAAAGCCACTTCAATTCCACCTCAATTAAACCAAATACTCCATTCTCAAAACCTTTTTTCTGCCTTCTCTAAATCACAAACATTAATGGCAGAAGCTCATACAGTTGCTTATTCAGAAGATTTTTTTGCTATTCTTTTCTTCCCAATTGAACATAAAATTGCTTGTCTTCTTCCTCTCTTTGGTCCAGTCCTTCTTTTATTGATTAAGTCATTATTCCAGACGTACAAAAAATAAGTCAATACTTCTTAATTTTATTTATGATTCTGTTAATAATATTGGAGATATTATTTGTACAAATCCAACACTACAACAAAAGAATATGAAGATAAATGAAAACAAACATTTTGTTATTCTTGATTAAAAGTAATTAGACTCTTTCTTTATTGTTATTAAGTTCATCAATTGAGAAGAAGAAGAAGAAGAAAGGAAAGATAAGAATAAGAATAAGATATGAATAAAGAAAGAGAAATAAAGAAAAAGACACAAGAAGATAATAAAAAACACAAAATTCAATTTAGTTGTAAAATAATTTTCTTTGTTATAAACCATAAAAATGAGAAAATAAAATGAACTTTAAAAATGAAAGGAAAAAAAATATTGTATGTAATATGGTAAAATAAAACTATACGTATCAATCTTTAAAAGATAAGTTCTGAAAAAAAACTATTTAATAGAATAGTTAAGATTGAGAATTGTATCTTGTTTTAGTTTATATTATTCTTAGAAAAGAAGAGAAAAAGAGGAAATGGAATTATTATATAAAATAGTACTTTTATTTCTTGTACATTTTAATTCATAATTCATTCTTTCAATAGGAAATTTTTATTACCAAAAAATAAAGTCAAAACAAAAGACGAAAAATAATAAGTATTAATTTGGAGTAATTTCCATTGAACAACCTGTATTTTTTTTGTTGTCTTCTTGGTGATAATCTTTAGTAGGATCAACTCGTTTTGCTTGTCTTCTTTTATTAATTGCATAACCAATATAATATACTATTTCTTCAATAATTAGACATAATACCATCACTATAATAGCAATGTAAATTTGAATATAATTATTGTTCATATAAGTACATAATAATCCACTTATTAAAGGTAATAATGCATTTCCTAAACCTCCAACACATTCACTAATACCCATAAACATTGATTTACTTGATTCACTTGCTCTCATTGAATAATATGTTGATGTTTGATATGCAAATCCACCAGCTAAACCACCCAGAAAAGCTAAGAACCAATTAACATATGGTTGAGCAGAAAGACCAAGTGTAATCAAAAACATTAAATAGAAGAATTGGAATAATAAAAGTAAACTTCTCATATAAATCCAGAATGTAGAGAAAGACATTATTGCCATTACAAGAGTTTGAGCAATAAAATAACAGAAAAAAATAATGCCAATATACATCTCAACAGTGTTTTGTCCAAATGGAATAGTAATATCTTTGTCTTTAGCTAAAGTTACATATGAATTAGAAAGAATTGCAGAAGTACCATAAACACCAAGTTGCATAACATAACCAAGATAAATATAAGTTTTATTTTTATAATCATTTACATTCCATTTAACTTTGATGTCATTTATATTGTTTGTTTCTTCATGAATTTGTATTTCAGATGATGATTTAGTATCTTGTAACTCTGAAGGTGTTGAATTTACCATTTCTACAGGAATATTTACTTCATGTGAACCTTGTTGGTGAACTGTAAATTCTACAGTAATATCACTTACTTCTTTAGGCTTTGTTTTCTCTTTTTTCATCTGTTTTATTTTCTCTCTAATTCGTTTTGGATGAGTAAATGGATATAATAACATATTTATAGCAACAATACCAATACAGATATACAACGCATTAGTTCCTAAAGCTCCTTTTAACATTCCTCCGAATAAAAATCCAAGAGCTTTACCAATTGACCATGAAACTTGATATAATGAAGTGTTTCTATTCTCACATCCAAGAGGCGCTTCAAATCCTACTGTTCCTGTAGTTACTGGCCAAAAGAAGGCAGTACAAAAAGGCCAAATAGCAACTGAGATATAAAGAACAAAAAATGTATTAGGCCATATAAGAATAATTGCTACGGCAACTACAAAGAAACACATTGCTATCCTAATAAGAATATATGGATTAAATTTATCACCTAACTTACCACAAATAGGAGAGATAATAGAATAAATAACAAAAGCAGTTGTCTGTAATAAAGAAAGGTCCAATGTAGACCCACCCATATCAACACATTTCAATGGAACTACAAGCCAATAAAAATAAGATGCAAAATTAAACATAAATCCAGCTAAACAAGCCCGAGGAAAATTCCAAAATAAAGAAGAGATTAATTCAATGATTTTGTTCATTATTAATTTATTATATCTAATAAATTGTAATATCTTTTCTTAGTGAGTTAGAAGAAAGTTTAAAAGAAATTCACTATTTGATAAACCACCTTTGTTGCTTATTGTTACCAAGAAATTGATCTTTATTGTTTCTTTTTGATAACGTGTTAATTGTATAAATATTTTCGCAGAAGTTTATTTCTTAACAAATTGACAAAATTTGAATAAAGTCACAATTTATATTAACAAAAATAATGTTAGTTTTTAAGAAAGAAAATGATTGAGAACTTTCTTCATCTGGAAAATATTCCCATCACATGAACCAACTGCTTGTTAAACTTTTTGAGTTCCAATTAGATAAAATTTTTTATAATTTGAGGTTAAATATTTAAAAAAGTCAATAATAACCGATGATGGTTTGATACTATTTTCAAATAAACAATGAAATAGTATGATAATTTTATCCAATAGAATTATTTCTAAGAGAGTAGGTACTTAAGAAGTATATTATTTATAAATCTTGTTTCTTATTATACTACTAAGAATAAAATAAAATATTTTCTCTTCATAAATTTTTCATAATTATTTTCCGTATCGTATTTAAGTAAATTCATCAACAGAAATTTGAATGTTTTAATTATACTTAAATAAACTAATTTGTTCAATAATAATACCTTTGGAT